AGCTTATTGCTCTGCACTACTTTACGATTAATTAATATATAATTAAAAGTACTCTGCACTATTTACAATCAAGCAATATATAAACAAAACAACTTTTACTTTGTTTAATATATAATTAAAACTGCTCTGCACTACCTTACATATAATTATATAAATAATATATTAATTATGATTCTTAAGTATATTAATTTATAATTATACTATAACTTAATTAGATTATGTAATTATTAGAATTAGTTTACTGTCTGTAATTATGTTCCGATCCAATTCGTATATCCTTAGTGATGATAGAATTTAATACGCTGATGTTCCTATACTTGACTTGTACTTTATTCCCGCTGTAGGAAGTAGATGAATTTACTAGGATGAAAATATCAGCAGAGCTCACTGCAGTCTAGCCTATCCAATCTAGCCTATCCAATTAATTTGGATAGGCTAGTAAAATTGTTATTTGAACTTAGGCGAGGCTAAGCTAAATTTTTTAATATAAATTATCTTTAACGTGTCTCGATGTCGATGTTCAGCGTTCCTTATTAGAAAAGTTGAAAAAACGATGAATAATGAAGTAGTACGGTATTGTATTTTTTTAATGATGAAATTGGTTTCTTTGGTATTATCCTTGATAATAAAAAACATTTGCGTTGTAAGTTATTGTTTTTTCTTCTAGAAGAGTTTACACTACCTATTGAATAATAGTTTTAAAAATCAGTACATGGGATTATTGCCGTAAAGTTGATTGTATGTCATTACATTAAGTTCAATTATATACAAGTTCTAAGTGCCTATTCCCTGTCACTATCAGCACACATTGTATATAAGTTTTAATTGCCTATTCACTGTCATTATCTCTGCACATTGTATATAAGTTATAACTATCTATTCCCTGTCACTATCTCTACACATTGTATATAAGTTCTAAGTATCTATCCACAGTCACTATCTCTACACATTGTATGCAAGTTCTAATTGCCTATTCACTGTCATTATCTCTACACATTGTATATAAGTTCTAAGTATCTATCCACAGTCACTATATCAACACATTGTATATAAGTTCTAAGTATCTATTCCCTGACACTATCTCTACACATTGTATGCAAGTTCTAATTGCCTATTCACTGTCATTATCTCTACACATTGTATATAAGTTCTAAGTATCTATCCACAGTCACTATATCAACACATTGTATATAAGTTCTAAGTATCTATTCCCTGACACTATCTTTACACGTTGTATACAAGTTCCAAGTGTCTATTCACTGTCACTATCTCTACACATTGTATATAAGTTCCAAGTACCTATTCCCTGACACTATCTCTACACATTGTATATAAGTTCCAAGTATCTATTCCCTGACACTATCTCTACACATTGTATATAAGTTCAAAGTGCCTATTTCCTGTCACTAAACTTTGACACTTGTATATTAAGACCTTCATTGATTAATTAATAACATACACATACAAGGAAGCGAGGTCACCGAGAGAACACTTACAACTATCTAATAATCTGTGACTCTAGCTCCCCTGGGAAGCTGAAGGATTGAAGCCCATCATTCACTGTATTTCATTTTTCATCATCCATTTTTCCACCGCGGCTGCTTTACGCAATCTGCAAACTTGCGTAGAATTGCAATGAGGCTCGCAACTGTTGCTATGATACGTGACTAAATTTCGCATTGCTGACTCAATTATTTCGTGTTTCAGTTTTGAACAAAACAAAGTTTTTGAAGGTGTCGAGGTGCCGAATTATTTTTTATCTTGGAATTTACGTGGGAATGTTTTACTTTTATAAAGAAACTGCATTATTTTTTTGACCATGAAATTAGCTTAGTGATGTTTCTAGACTGAAAAATTGTGATAAGTAATCAATTTTTTTCTATTTTAGATTGTGAGGTAAATTCTTAATATATCGATGGTAACGAACTATTTGGTCAAATTTAGATCGAAACTCAGGGTTTAGTTTATCCGGTATCCAAGGTACTGCGTGCAGCGAGATAAAGCAGCAATTGGTGCTGAACTTAATTCTTTGGTCAATAGCTACGCGCCTTATTAATCTGAAATATTTTCGACGCGCTAAGTGAGCTAAAAATCCTCAAGCTGTTCAACGGTGAATGAATTAAGCCGAAAGAAAACTAGCACGAAAGAGGAGAATAATTCACTGGAAGAAGCTCAACCTCATTGCTTGAGATTGACGGGGTGGCTGCGGGTTTTTTGTATCAGTTTTTGCGTAGCTAACTTCACCAACGCTTGTGGAGACTCTACGTGAAATAATTCGAAGATCTGGTGGCATTACAAGCCACCCATCGCCGTCATGTTTAACTACTACGTTATGAACCAATACGGCGACGCCTCGGACTAAAACTACTTCGTCAAGAACCAGTACCAGAATGCATTCGTTCAGCAGCAGCCTTAGATGTGCATTGAAGATCTCCCTCCTACCGACGTCAGTTTCCCTGGACACCATCACCACCATGTGCAGCCTCCCCCTGGCCCTCCGCCAATGATGTAAAATCTTCATTATTAAATTTGTTAACCTCAAGTCGCACAGCAACAATATTGCATGCCAGCCCAACAGCCTCCGATGCACCACCACCATCACGTTTAATATGGACAACCCTTGCACTGCATGGCAGCCAACAATGTGGGCGCCTGTGGTGGATTTCCTTAACAGCATTTCGCTCACTAACATAACTTCGCTCACTTCTGAAGGCCTGAGGACATCTTCCTCTGCAAGACGAAGGAAAATTGTTAAATGACACTAATTATTGTTACGCCATTGTAATCGGGGAATAAGCTGTCAATGAAAAAGTTTTCGTATGCGCCATTTTTCCAATTTTCTTTTGCGTGATGAAAGATAGGCGTTTGTCATATTTATGTTGATGGAGGCGTTGATTGTTGGGCCCGCACTTGTTACCAGAATGGAAAATTGCGTTGCTTTGAATACTCGCTTGTATAAGAAGAATACTGCGATTTTATTGGAAGGATTCGAAATTTTCTAGAGACGAGAAGATTTATCAACAATCGAGTGATTGAAGCCTGCTTACGGATTGAATCCTTATCGACGAATTGAAGCCCGCGGAATTGTTCCGTTGAAAATAGATGAAGATGAAACGTTCTGTGTTGAAAAGATAACCGCTGAAAAATGAAGTTATTTAAGTAATTCCATGTTAAAGTGCTGCGAAGATTAATGATTCAATATGGCCTATGTGTTGCAAGTGAAAACAATTTCGGTATCAATGTTGTTCCTTAGCAGAGGCTAAAGTGCTCAGGGAATCTCATGCATCTCAACTTCTTGGACGGCATACAAATCTTGTGCCTTGTAGTAAATATCATGCTTAGTATTCAGCTAAAACGTAGTCTAATTTCAGCCGTTTGATCAAAGATTTAAGTAAAAAATTCAAATCACGATATGAGAAATATTTTGAAACATTGATTGTGTTTCAAGTGCCTTTTGTGTTTGAATTTTGTGATTGTCAAACTTTTAATTATTGCGAGAAGTGGTCCTCTTTTCGGCTGAATAATCCTAATAGATTCTTAATCGTAACGTATGTGATGTTTTTGGAATAATATGTAGCTCGAATTTTTTTCGTTAAATTTTTTTCACCTTCTGTACAACGCCTAAAATAAACGAATTCGATCGAGTTTCATAGTTTTTTTTTGTGCATATCTTGTTCTTCTTTTAAAGGACTCCTTATTATTCATGGTTTTAATAATTAGTAATTGATTTTTGCACAAAAGTGTCTGGATGAAAAGTTAATTGCGTCTCTTGATATGTATTAACTTTCTAGTGCAGCCGATTACGTAGGTAACACTTGTTAAGAATGGTATTTTAAATTCAGCTAACTTTATTTGATTATTTTTATTATATTTATTCCTAAATTTATATCATCGAATTATTAACAATAAAAGACTATTTTACATCCTCAATGTGAAAGTTTTTCTTCCTTCTTTGATCTGTTGTGTTGCCTTGAAAAATGAAAATTATCAGTAAACCAGGAAAACTTATGAGCTCGGTGATGCATTTTTCGTTTGAATTTTGATAAATTACGCTTATTTATCCAATTAATATGCGTCCGGCTGGCCTCTTCGGTCGTTACTGTGATAATTTATGATTAGTATTCATCGAAAGCATTAATTTTGCAGTTTTAAAGAACTGTTTCGCTTTAATTTTGTTTTTCACGCAGACATATGGCATTAGCGGTTTAGCGCCACCCCATGGCGTGCTCCATATGTAATCTATACAATATATTATCACAGGGCGCTGGGTAACAACCCCCTGTACTGCGACTGCTCCATGGCGCGCTCCATATGTAATCTATACAACATATTATCACAGGGCGCTGGGTAACAACCCTCTGTACTGCGACTGCTCCATGGCGTGCTCCATATGTAATCCATATATTATATTATCACAGGGCGCTCGGTAACAACCCCCTGTACTGCGACTGCNATCTCTACACATTGTATATAAGTTCCAAGTATCTATTCCCTGACACTATCTCTACACATTGTATATAAGTTCAAAGTGCCTATTTCCTGTCACTATCTCTACACATTGTATACAACTTCCAAGTATCTATCCACTGTCACTATGTTCTACACATTGTATATAACTTCCAAGTATCTATTCCCTAACACTATCTCTACACATGGTATACAAGTTCCAAGTACCTATTCCCTAACACTATCTCTCCACATTGTATATAAGTTCTAAGTATCTATTCCTTATCACTATACCCACACAATCCCCACAGAAAGTGACCGTGTGCCTGACGAGGTGCTGGCAAAGTGCGACCAGTGCTACACGCGCCCCTGCGACAACGGAGGAACTTGTCGCAGTTTGCCTGGTCGGGAGTTCGAGTGCATTTGCGCCCCTGGCTTCTACGGCGACATTTGTCAACACCGTATTGATGCTTGCTACGGCAACCCTTGCGACAACGGTGGCACCTGTAAAGTCTACGAGATGGGCAGATTTGCGTGAGTTTTGAAATTATTTGTTTTATTTTTAGCGCATTTTCTCATTTATGGAAAAAATGCTATATTGTGCTCGTCATGAACTTCCGTCTGTCTGTCCGTCTGTCTATCTGTCCTTCCGTCTGTCTGTCCGTCCGTCCGTGACTTCACGTTTTCGTCGACGAGAAAATGCGCTCTCTGTCACTCACTGCAGTGAGTACTGAGTTACATTTTTTGGTATAATTCGCTCTCAGAATGCATTTCTTATATATTAGTTACTTGATTCTTTCATCCTTTGTCTTGTCCTTTTTTGAATGATTGTGTTTCAGTATTTGAGAACACTTTTTAATTGCTAAAATGAAGTAAAATTTACCTCTTTCTGCTGCTGATGTGAAAGATTATCCTGCAAGTTTTAAACGATGAACATAGAAGAATTTATCAAGTATAACTATACACTGATTTAGTTGAATTGAGGAAGATAAAGCAAGACTAGTTTGCAGGCTGCTGAGGGAAAAATAGTGTCGATACTTTTTGTGGTTATAATGGCATCAAAGGTGATTTAATACATGGGAAGATGTGATCTAGGTACACAAGTGGTCTTTATAACGTCAACTCTTACAGGTGCGTGGCATGCGTGGACTCAACTCTTACAGGTGCGTGGCATGCGTGGACTCAACTCTTACAGGTGCGTGGCATGCGTGGACGGCGTCAACTCTTACACAATTCTTACGTCATGGTAAAGGATTGTTTCATTGTTTCTTATCGCCCCGGCTTCCTAAGGCTGCCCTAATAAAGGTATCCTTTTAAGGTGAGTGTACTCATGGACGCACCTGTCTCACAATGGTGCTTCATTAGTCATTGATTTACTATTTTTGCGTGCTTGTTGTATAATTGTTATACACTCATTACTTTTTACGTGCTTGTTCTATAATTGTTATACACTTATTACTTTTTTAAGTGCTTGTTGTATAAATATTTTTCACTTAATACTTTTTTAAGTACTTGTAGGGTACTTTTTACTTTTTATACTTTTAGGTACTTGTTAGGTTGTATAATTGTTTCACACTTACTGCTTTTTTACGTACCTATTGTGTAATTCTTTCATACTTATTACTTTCTTACGTGCCTATTGTATAATTGTTATGCACTTATTACTTTTTCATGTGCTTGTTGCATAATCACTTACTACGTACTCATGACACGTTAACGTATCTCTTAGGTGCGAGTGCGCCCCCGGGCACAGAGGGCAGCTGTGCGAGGAGGAAGTGAGCTTCTGTAGCGGGGGCCACGACCCCTGCAAGCACGGCGCTACCTGCCGCAGCCACGGCACGCATTACGAGTGTAGCTGTGCACCAGGCTGGTCTGGCAGTAACTGCACCATCAATGCTGATGACTGCGTCGACCATCTTTGTCAGGTACTGCGGCAACCATCTCTGTCAGGTACTGTGGCAACCATCTCTGTCAGGTACTGCGGCAACCATCTCTGTCAGGTACTGTGGCAACCATCTCTGTCAGGTACTGCGCCAACCATCTCTGTCAGGTACTGCGCCAACCATCTCTGTCAGGTAGTGTGGCAACCATCTGTTTCAGGTACTGCTTCAACCATCTCTGTTGCGTCAACCATCTCTGTCAGGTACCTACTGCGCTAGTCATCTGTTTCAGGTACTGCACCGACAATTCATGTTGGGTACTGCGGCAAACATCAGGGTTAGGTAGTGCAGGATCTTCAACGCATTTGTAACGTTCAATCGCGGAATTGTACCTAATGTTCTGTAACGCAGATATAACGGTTTCTAATGCAGTTATAACGATATATAACTCAATTATAACGCTCTCTACCGAGTTAATAATGCCCTAAGCTCGTGTGTAACGCCAGAATTTCCCCTCCTAACGTACCATCGGCCGTCAGAACGGCGGGCAGTGCGTGGACGGGCTGGGGACGTACGAGTGCAAGTGCGTGGGCGAGTGGACGGGCCGGTACTGCGAGCGTGGCCCGTCTGTGCTGCAGCAGACCGAGCCGTGTCTGCAGCACGACTGCAGACACGGCGTCTGCACCGTGCCTAGAGGCAGGACAGACTACACCTGCAAGTGCCAGTCTGGTTACTCAGGTGAGTCTGCAGTATCTGCTTGTGCAGTCTGCAGTGAGTCTGCAGTGTCTGCTACGTGGGTAGGTCGTCGCTCTCGTGAGATTTGCTAAGAAAAAGATTTTTCTTGAAAAAGATTAGTAGCTGGAGACGCAAAACTACGTGGAACGACAAATTAATCTCGGGAAGGGACATTACTACGTAATACTGATGCACAAAATGCAAATATTACTTTTCGTCAGAAATGCGAACAATATTTCTTAATGCTCTAAGATCAGATGAAACGCTTCATCAAAAAATGATTTGAACTGAAGGTTTTGACATAGTTAAACATCGCGTTGAACGAGTTGACATAAGTAAAGAACACCGCCTTGTATGAAATGAAATAGTTAGAGAACATCGCCTCGAACGAGATGACATATTCAAAAAAACATCACACTGAACGAGTGGACACAGTTAGAGAACACCGCGTTAAATAAATTTAAATACTTGTAGAACATCGCGTTAATAAAATCTATTTGTGGCAGGCAAATACTGCGAGTTGCTGACATCTGTCAACCTCGTCGACAAGGGCAGCTTCATGCAACTGACAGCGCCTGCCGTGCTGCCAGCCTTCAACGTCACGCTAACCTTCATGTCAGATTTACCGTTCTTATTTTCCCATTTTATTTTCAACTTAGAATTCTAATTAAACCATTTTTCCTATTTATTACTTATGTATTATCAAATTTCAACTATGAATCGAACGCTTATCTTATGTATATTTTATCGACGGTTGTCTATATTTTTCGTTGAAACTACACTATTTGCTAGTGTTTTATTCATGTAGTTAATAAATTAATAGCCTCACTTGAAAGGCAAAACTTTCATATCTTCAACATAATATTGTGCGAACTTCTAATGGCGCTGCCTTGATGAAGATGGCCCAGCATAAAAAAATGTTGAAAAACAGTAATTTGTTGAGTTTTTAATTATTATGATAGTTGTTAACTGTGCACTTCTTTTATATAGCTGTTTTAGTTTAAAATCGATGAGGAATCCTGGAATGAGTTCCCATAAATGAGTCTGGAATATATGTCTGGAATGAGTTCCCAGACATATATATATATATGTCTGTATCAAGTGTGCGCACGCTGAATATTTCCATAATTTAGTTGTTCAATGAATAAATAACATTTATTTGGCTACGGTTGATTTTTCTAAGAATTGTCGCGATTTGTTTGTGAAAAAAAATCTATATAATTCAGACAGAATTTATTCTATCGAAGGGAATTATAATGATGCAAGGGAGAAGTACCGACTTGGCTAGTGAAGCAGTCGTGACTACTGTGACGACTGGCGGGATTTGTTTTTAGGCGAATAATAAATTTAACGAATAAACTTATTCGTTTCACGAACGAACAAACTTACGCGAACATTAGGTATGGTGTCCCGCAGACTGTGAACGGACGCGAGCCGATGGTGAACAAATGCAATTTTATCAAAACCACTTGAACCTGATGATTTGAGTTAGTAAATACATAAAAAAGTAAGAAAATGAGATAAAGGCCTCTTTGTAATCATTATTATGTGTTAGTGATCGCACTGTAAAGCGCGATAACAGGATCGAAAAACCACTCAAGGGTTCAATTGATGCCCTTGATACTAAGATAATGGGACCGTGGCGCCATTTTGAACTAAAACAATTGGTCATCGAACACAATAAAAACTTATATTATGGCTTAGTGGGCTCATTTTAAACTGCGATGATGAGGCAAGAAATTTTCTTCAAATTAATACAAACTAATACTTATATTATCAATAAACCAACCATCACTATGGGTTAATAAAGCCTCTGCAAGCGAAGATATTTCATCACTAAATCAACGAAAACACTGACGAATGGCAACTTAACCTAACAAGCAGTAAGATAATTAATTCGTCATCACACAACTTCAATTTCGTACGATAGGTCAAACGCAAAGAATCCGATGTTACTTTTGGTTTGGCAACCTTCTTAATCGTACACATACGTACAGTGAATTTGTGACATGAAGTTATTCAATAACAGTTGTTCATCCATAGAAATTTTTTTCATATCTCTGCGTATCAATTGCTGGCACTATTTAATATTTATTACTTTGACCATTGCGACGCGCAGGTCCGAAGTGACTGACGGAGTGCTTGCTTACCTTGGGCTCGATCGCCAACACTTGGCTGTTGAAATTTTCCGTGGGAGACTCCGCATCAGCTACGACGTGGGCAACCACCCCGCGTCCAACATGTTCAGGTGAGCCTAAATAAAACTTTATACGTCCACTAATTTTTTTGCCGTTGGTGTTAAAAAATTTGCCTCTAAAGCTGGGCTACTTAAACCAACGTGGAAACCAATATCACGAAATTAATAACGACGCGTATATAATAAACATTGTTATTTTGTCCACTCGCCAAAGCACAAATCAAAAAGTGTATTTGAATGCACCGCAACACACCTCAATTGTCATTATATATTTGGTATCTAATCCTCTTTCCTGCCTTAAGAATACACTTGACGCTATTATTACGCTACAACACACACCACAAATGCTATAATGTTTTTGCTGCAATGCAACTTCATGTTTATCATAAAGTTTCAGTTATCTTCATGAAGTTCCATGTATCTTCATGGAGTTCCATCTATCTTCATGGAGTTTAATGCATCTACATGAAGTTTCACGTATTCATGAAGTTTCATGTATCTTCATGAAGCTTCAATGAAGTTTCATGTATCGTCTTGAAGTTTCATGTATCTTAACGAAGTTTCATGTTTCTTCATGAAGTTTCTTGTATCTTCATGAAGTTTCATGTATCTTCATGTGTACCGCAGTTACGAGCTGATCAGTGACGGGGCAGAGCACACAGTCGAGCTGCTCGCTGCCAAGAAGAACTTTACGCTGCGTGTGGACGGCGGCGCCGCGCGCAGCGTCGTCAACGACGGCGACCACGCGGCGCTGGACGTGGCCGACGCGCCGCTGTTCCTGGGCGGAGTGCCTCCTGAGGTCGGCAAACTGGCGCTCGAGCACTGGCATCTCAGGAACTCTACCAGCTTCCGCGGTGAGATTTTATTTATTTTTGTGTGGGATTTTTTTTTGTGATTTTGTGTGGGGTTTTGGCATCTCAGGAACTCTACCAGCTTCCGAGGTGAGTTTTTATTTATTTTTGTGTGGGATTTTGTTGGTGATTTTGTGTGGGATTTTGGTGTTTTCAGGAACTCTACCAGCTTCCGAGGTGAGATTTTATTTATTTTTGTGTGGGATTTTTTTGGTTCCGAGGTCAGTTTTTATTTATTGTGTGGGATTTTGGTGTTTTCAGGAACTCTACGAGCTTCCGAGGTGAGTTTTTATTTATTTTGTAGGATTTTTTTGGTGATTTTGTGTGGGATTTTGGCATATCAGGTACTATACGAGCTTCCGAGGTTAGTTTTTATTTATTTATTTTGTGGGATTTTTTTGGGGATTTTGTGTGGGATTTTGGCATCTCAGGAACTCTACGAGCTTCCGAGGTCAGTTTTTATTTATTTTTGTATGGGATTTTTTTGGTTCCGAGGTCAGTTTTTATTTATTGTGTGGGATACTCTACGAGCTTCCGAGGTGAGTTTTTATTTATTTTTGTGTGGGATTTTTTTGTGTTTTGGGTGGAATTGTTTTGATTTCATGATGGGCAAATTACGTTTTATTCCGTTTTATTTATGCTGTCTGGCTGATTGAATTTTGGTTCTATTTGAAGTAACGTGTGATTTTATTTTATTTATGCTTTCTGGCTAATCGAATTTTTGTGTTGATAATTTGAACTTGTGGAGCAAGCGTAGATGACAGGGATATAAATGTTTGAAGTGATTAAGAATAAATTATATTATGTTTTAGTATGACTATCAAACACCTTTTCGTAATCGAAAGAATGCATATTATTTTTTAAAAGAACATTGCACATGTGAAAATCCACCGTATTGTCGTTAATATTTTGTCAGATGGAAAAAAGACTCAAATTTTCTTCTTGAAAATCATTCATTCTCTTTTTGAAACCTCAATTTCTTGGACAATTCAATAAAATCATTTGCTAAAGATTCAGCCATTTAATGTGTTTCAAAATACTGTGTACCGTATGCTTGAATTTTTCTACATTTACTTCAATAGGGTTTTAAAAGAAGTTTACAAGATAAGAACGTTCACTTCCTGCTTAATACTTCGTTCTCTCATTATATTGTATCCAAGAACATCTCCCTGGCTATTCAACGATCTCATTACACAACTGTTCAACGGAGGAAAGATTGCAGATTTGCCCCCCTGTAACCACTTTCCCGATCAGGCTGCATGAAGAGCGTCGAAATCAACGGTCGAGTGCAAGACCTCAGCCGCATCCCGAAGCAGAACAAAGTGGTGCCTGGCTGTGGCACCGGCCTCCAGCAGGACGATGAAGCCGCCCCGCCTGCGGAGGCCGGCCCTCCGCCTGCCGTGGTTGGCGCCGCGCCTGCCCTGACCGGCGCCGCGCCTGCCCTGACCGGCGCCGTGCCTGCCGTGACCGGCGCCGCGCTTGACGGGGCCGGGAAGAGCGGAGTATTTTACTCCGAGCTGCAGCTTCTGGCCCGCAGCAGCACCCGCGAACTATACAATTCCTCCGAAAATGCCGTTATTGAGCCCGGTGTGTGATTAATGAGTTTTTCATTTTAGTCATAGTTCATAATGCGGGCAATTTCGATGTCGAATGAATTATATTTTTCTTTGTATTATTTTTGAAACAAAGGGATTACTTGTTGTGATTTATATTCCGTCCAGATTTCCTAGTAGATTTTTTATTTATTGGTCCAAAACGGTGATTACACATGAATTTTTCACTTTTCTAATTTGCCACAAGTAGTTTTATTATTATTCAAACATTGCAATCATCGACAAACTGCGCACATTTCTTCAAGCACCCCCTTCCATTAATGTATTTAAGTGTACCATTTTACAGGCCTTTCTCACTAATTATATTTATTTATATTTATTATTTATTAATAATTTATTATTATTTATAACTCTGTTTTTTTCACTGAAATAATAAATTTTTTGTTATGACTTTTTCACGGAAATAATCAATTTTTTGTTATGACTTTTTCACGGAAATAAAAATTATTTGTTACGACGGAGTTTGCGTGGTGTTGCAGAGGTGTGCAGCAGCCACCAGTGTCAGGAGGGACGCTGTAAGCCGCGCCGGCGACGTCCCGGCTACCGATGTCGCTGCAAGAGAGGATGGAGCGGAAAGTTCTGCAATAAAGGTACGCGAAGCAAAGAACATTTTCAATAAGTTAAGAATTGCAAAATACATTTGCAATGAAGGTTTCTGCATGTGGAAATTTTGTTGAAGCGAAGCCAGTGACGCTTGGAAGATAAGTCTATGATTTAAACCGTGACGCTTAGGAAAGAATGTTTGCCGGTAAGAAATTATGCAAAGTAAATTGACTATTTAATATTTTCGCATTCACATAACCGTTTAATATACGTTACGTTTTCTCTGCTCTAGGTTTTCAAAATTATTTGTATCCTTCCACTTCGCGTGATATTCATATCAAATAAGTGTCAGCAATTTACCGTGAAAATTCATGTACCAACACATATTACTACTGAAAGTATCGCAACATACATCGAGTTTTGCTTATCAAACGAAATAAGCCTATCATTTCAGCATCGTAATTCATTTCAAATTTGAATTATTCTAATAAATCATTGTTTGGTTTACAGCGCCGACTTGCCGGCGCGCATGTTTATGTAACACATATTACTACTCATAGTATCGCAATATAGATCGAGGTTTGCTTATCAAACGAAAGAAGCCTATCATTTCAGCACCGTAATTCATTTCAAATTTGAATTATTTCAAATTTTAATTTCAAATTTGAATTATTTTAATAAATCATTGTTTTGTTTACAGCGCCGACTTGCCGACGCGAGTCCACAGTTACGCACCTGGTGGATGCCAACCGCTGCAGGTCTGCCCAGCCCGTGCGCCAATATTCCTGCGTGGGAGGCTGCGGACGCTTCTGCTGCCGTCCAAAACGGCACAGAATCAAGAAAGTCACGATGATTTGCAACGACGGAACAAAGTACGTGAAAGTCGTGAAGATCCTCAGGAAATGCGCCTGCACAACGCAATGCCAGGATATACCTAACGAATGAACTGATGTCGTCTAGTAGTTACACTTGAATCTCAGGAATATATCGACATCTGAGCCCGCATATTTTAAAGGTAAAGGAAGGTTAAAGTTTATAGTGAATTTTCACGTATATTGCATGGGTTTTAAGGAGATGGCCTGTAGATCTTATTTGTTTAATTGTCAATGCATCCAGTTCTTATGGGTGATATGGCGGTATAAAGCAGCTCTACAATTTTAACTCTGAATGTGTGGAATTCAACTTAGTAGTACACGTTTACTGCAGTTTTATTTACTTGATAGCTACATTTTATGAAGTACTTAACTAAAGGAGAGTTTGCTGACCAACCTTAAAAAATGCAAGATTCAATCCCGACTGGAAAAGATGGAATTAAGTAATAGATTTTTCAACAGTGCTGTGCTAAAAAACAGTAACCAAATCAAAAAAGGTTTCACTTAGTAATTACAAGAATGGCTTACAAAATCTACGCTTTGCTGGTGATTTTCACAGCATTCACGTCGTAAACTAACAATATGTTATCACATCTTCTCTGACCTTCTATCGAATGTGGTTGCTTTTAGAGCACAATAATTAATATTTAATTAATGACTGTCCTGTTCATTGGCTTGAGCGTTCCTCGAGAGGAAATCGCTTTCGCATTCACATTGAACTAGATTTTAACGCGTAACTTTTGTACATAACAAGCTTCAGAAGTAAGAAATACTCTAGGTATTATTATTTTGTGTAGGATAATATTGCAGATCATGTCCAGCATTCGGTGTCATGATCATCTAGATTTGACTGTACATTTTTTTCACGCATGCACGAAATAAAATTCGCATATGGGTCAAACTAATACAATTCGATAGAGCTCTCTTTACGAAAATATTTCATTAATATTCAAATACTAGAATCCGCTTCAATTTGGGAATCAATGCCATTTGGGGAAAATATATTGAAGTAATTTTTTTTAATGAAAATGTAGTCCTTCCCGTCATTTTCGACTCTTTTCCCGCTGAATGCTATATGACTACTTTTCACATGTCCCAAATTATCTTCAACTCCACCACATTTCAGGCTTTAAATGTCCTTTGCAAGTTCCATGTTTCTTCATGTAGTTTCATTATCATTGTCTGCATTTCCAGAGTTTTTATCTATAATAAATGAATCGCTCTGCATGGCTGGGCCTTTTCATAGAAGAAAATTTTCTTATCGATTCTTTTACAAAAGCGGTGTTCAGATTTTATAAGAAAAAATCCTGAAAAGTGTTTACTTATGCTTTGGATGTCGTGCATCGCCCGTACATGTAGATAGTTATTTAGGGAAAGACCCGCTACCTCCTGTTAAATACTCCCCCGGTCCCGCGCATGCGTGCTAGGCGGCTCGAGCTCCACCCCTTAATTCAAACTCCGCATCTCAATCCCCAAATCCCCCTATTCTTATCTTATTTATTTCTATTCCTATTCAAAAGAATATTCATATAAAGGAACGTGCATGGAACACTTGAATAGTTATGCCAAAATGTAAATTTTGAACTCTCTTTGGATGGAAAATGCGCGTTTATTTCTCAGCAAAAAGTTTTTAACTGGCATTAAAGTTAATTCTAAACGGCTTGTTGCTGCGGTAAAGACGAGTTTTTTTTTTTCGATATAGAATGTTGAAAGTTATGTAGTAGGTAACATTTCACTTAATTAACATCACATTGATGGTTGATAACCCGTGTATAAATGCCGCCATTGTTTCGATCGATTATTGACACATCATTTCTCATGTTTGCACATTACTTGCATGATTTCTACACAATTATACATTTACCCAGAACAGGCCAAAAACTATCTTAATAAGTCTCACTTTTTAAACATCCACGTTTCTTGTTGTTGCTCCGTGCTACCTACTGAGACTGAAAATTGATTTATTTCTCTAAGCTGACCAGTTTCTTCTCACCGTGTTTGTTCGTCCGTTGTCTGAAAATTGGTTATTCCGTTCATATTTTTCACCCATTTTTCACTCATATCTCCGCTATTTGAAGCTATCGCTGAATGCCTGCATTATTCTCAGCCGTAAATTTTGGACTGTTATAACGAAAGGATAATTAATTGGCAATATTTTTTAATCCATATATACTCTAAAAGAAATCCACTAGCCCGTGTTTTCCTCCTGTAAATTTTATGTTTGATGAATTCACTATTAATAAAATTCTCATCTAAATCGTCCCATGAATCATAGCCACTACCCTGTTAATAACGTTAGCGTGTCTTTCATCTGTAGTTGGAAGATCTTACCTGAAAATTTACTTGCAATTTCCTTGAAATTTTCTGGGCTCAGTCTAGGAGCTTGTCACTTGGCACTATAAACATTACCGTACAGAGATTATAGTCTTCGATCCCCAAAACGAAAATCATCGGTCTCTGAATTTAAAGTTTTCGTTCCCTTACTTTAAATTTTACGATTTCTGAGATTGAAGTCATCGATCCTTCAATGTAAAATTTTCGTTCCCTAATTTTAAAGTTTTCGATCCCTGAGTTTAGAATCATCGATCGCCTTCGTTTCGCCGGTCTTTAAATCGATTTAAATGTGACCCGATGGCCGATGCGGATTTTATTTCTGTCCAGAGATGAACTTGAGTGAGCGTGATTTTCCTGAAACCAAAGTTCCATGCAATGAAGGTGTTTATATGTTCGCTTAGGTGCTATCCCTAAGTGATATTTATAAAATGCAATATGACGTTCAAGTATAGTAGTACCTGTTTCTCTTATATGTTCATTGTCTTTACTAATTCTGTGTTTTTTTATGCCAAGGTGCATTATTTTAAATTTCAGTGAATTTTTATTACTAAGAATTTTCTTGAAGATACGAAAATTCAATTTAAAATACCTTCACGAACAAGTGTTCGTGTCGTAGGTAATATAATTGAGACAATTAAAAATTTTAATTTCTTGTGAATCTGGATTCTAATGAGTTTTTTGCAACTAAGGTCTATAGCTTTGTTAGGACTCGGAACTCAAGTCAATGTATGCAGCTTATCACTACATAAGTCCGTGTAAATATTCCCTTTAAGAAACCATAACTAGACCTTACGTATTCGCTACCAATAATTTCTTATTCTTATTTAAGATTTTTAACTGTGGGATTCCTCGACATTATAAATACATAATTTTTTAATGAAAATTCAGTTACAAGCAGTTTGTTCATATTCTAAGAAATTTATCTCGATAGGTAATTTCATATTCACAAAACAGTAATCATACATGCTCGAAAAAAAGAGGTTACTATTGCTAACTTCTTGACTAAAAATTAAATTTTGAACATTTACAAAGTGTTGGACGTCCTAATGATATCTTATTTTACGGCTATAGCTTTACTTATTCTTTACGTTGTGGATGAATATGATGTCGTTGTACAATAGAAATTATCCATAGATAACGGTAATATAAATAGTCTGAATCATTCTTGGTTTTATTATCCTTCTTTAATAAACCTATTATATTATTTTATCTGCTCAAACTATATATTATTGTGAAGCTTGAACCAAATTTTGAAATGCCCTGATAGATTTTTCAAAATTTGCTGGTCATTTCAATAATGATCACAAAATCAATCGTTTTTATTTAATTGTAATAACTAAATAATTTTTTAAATTGTTTCCTAAGTGTACCTGAATTCACAAACTCGGATATAATACACGACTGTCTGAAACCAGGAGCTGTGCGTTCCTAGGGACGCTTTGTTTTTCTCAATGACCAACAAAAAACAATGATCCACAAAAAAGTTATTGAGACCAAATCTTGACTTCTTATTGTTATTCCTTTGCTTAATGTGGCCAGAAGAGATGCTCGTATGCCCGTAAATATGATGAAATATTTTGGCTTTCGATGCGTGGTAGCTACTTCTATATAATGAGGGTTCCACCTGTAAATTTCTCGTTCAAGTTCTAGTCATCACTGACGAGACGTCTTTTAGGAATACTTTGCGATTCTCCTGGTTCCACCACAAAGATAAATTCTTTGAAGTTTGATTAATATTACAAAATATTTACACAGAGAGATTAGTTAATATTACAGTCCTGTTATTTTTTTTGTTCAGTGTTGATCATAAAAGTGTCTAATTTAGTTTTCATTTACGATTGTGAATAATGCCGCATCTGCTTATTATTCTTTTGTTCACATTGTGCTTTTGTTTGATGTTCTACAGTTAGATTGTGAGTTCTAAATGTGCGTTTGTTATTACATTTCAGGAAGGCTATAAAATCGGAGTCCGAAGTTCAGACAAGTCATGTTTAAAAGTTGACGTGGGAATTATGTACATGAAAGTTACTGCTAAAGAAATCACATGGATTCTGTTTTGTATTAGAAATTTGTGGCAATTTATTTTTCTTGCATTCATCAGCCCTATTTATTCCTTTTTCCCATAGTTGAATGATTTCATTGGCTTAATGTCTGGGGTCACTGAAGGCTTTATTTCTTTAGTTACGGTTTAGGACCCAACAAATTAATATAATTGTACAAATACGACAGCAGTACTTGTGACGCAATATTCTGGCCAGTACTTTGGAGTAACACTTCTTGAACGTTTTGAAATCCACCTTTGAATTTACTTTAATTGGATCCAGTTTTCGAACAGGACTTGACAGAACGGCGTACGTAGAATTATTGTGATATTTTGTAAACAGTTATGTTTTGCATAAAATAATATCTGGTTACACTGGTTAAATAGTATTTTTGATCTTTTAGTCTGGTTAATTTTTCCGTTTGAACGTATTACTTGATTCTGGTGGCAATTTAGTATTGGTTATTTATACCGTATGTAAGTGTTCGTTGGATGACAAATGGTTTGTTTTACAACACTTTTGCTACTATAAACAATAACGGACATATTTACGCAATCATTCATAGTACTCATTCAAAATTTGTGATTCCTATTATTTAGAAGCTAGCATACTGGTATCGTGGCACATGATTGTCAGGCGTTGTTACAACGAAGGAAATTTTGGAGAATTTTGCAGATGGAACGCTGGATGAACTTTTGGCCATGTATATGTAAGTTTTAGTGCGTTCACTATTATTTAACTCGGATCCGACTATAAATTGTAGCTTCGTTTTTCTTTCCTTTCAACTTTTGAACTGAAGAATTTGATTCCAGGTGAATCTCCGTATGATGTTACTGCTGCTATTTGTGAGGTAAATCGCGATGTTGAAGAACAGCTCAGCTCACTCACAACTTGTGATCATCAATATAAGGTCAGTTAATATTTAAGGCTGTTTTCTAAGGACAGAGACTGTTTTATTAAATCCAGGTTGCATTGGATCATATGTTAATGAGATTAATAACAACCTCGACCAAACTAACCCAATCTAACATAATCGGCAATGCAAGAGTATTTTTTTGTGTAGGAAACTGATTTTCTATTTTTATTCTTAAAATTGAAAATCAAATTAAAAATAAAGTCGAGGAACACAAAAGTATTAAGGAGAAGAGTACTATTTATTTAAATTCTAAAAGATCGCTGTGAATTACTTGAGCATTTTATGATTGCATTCTCAAACAAGAATCGGCTACGTTTTCGGAGAGCTAATACCTAAATTCAATATTTATATAATACATTAATTCTAGTTGTTCGTTGAAATTTTGATCGCGCACAAATCATTGTGGATCGTTGTCATCGCCCCAGTTCGTGAACTGCATGTTTAATGTTGGAGCTTCCATTCTGGCCCACTATATCTGAAGATGTTCGTACACCCCGAGATTAAGATGAAATGTGTAGCTTTACATTTTTTGTCTTTCTCTTTACTGTCGCATTTTTTCCTTGAACTCGCAAGGATTATTTGTTGTATTTCACTGCCTTTTATTTAGTGGTAACAACGTCGTCTTAATTTGCGATGAGCTGGGCCTATACTTTCAGAAAAAGTTAAAGTTAAGAGATCGTAAGTTCATCAGCCAATCATTGACGAGCTTTCAAGCAAAATCCACCAATCATAGACAAGAAAATAGAGCGTAAGTACTTATGTTCACTTTGCGAGTTTTGAAAGTATGGCCCCGGGAACTCCAGTGACAGCAGCTGGCTTCAACCGGTTGCCACGTTATCACGTATCTCGAAAATGCCTGTAGACGTTACAGTGCTTTTCCACTCCTAGGCGTTGAGCTGCATGGCGAAGGTACTTATAGCTTGAGACCGAGTCCTGAACATTGACCAACACTCCCGACCACCTACTGCAAATATGCTGGAGTTACACGTCATCAAGACTAAGTTTTCTGTGCTCTTGATGCTCAATCGACAGTTTTGCTTAACATTAGTCATCACTCCCGACCTTGCAAGACCACTCCGAACTATCCCGACCTCTATAGTTTACATGTGGTTAGTGCCCCCAGGTGAGTGGTTAGTGCCCTGAGGTGAGTGGCTAGTGCCCTCAGGTGAGTGGTTAGTGCCCCCAGGTGTGTGTTGGTGCGTAAGTCGAATAGCGTAAGTCGAAAGTTGCTTCGCGCCCTGCATGAGGGTAAGAGAAAGCCCAATGGAAAGCAACAACGGTTTACTGAAAGAGCAATTACGTTAGGAACAGAGGATATAGCATGACTTGCAGGAATGGTAGGATCTAGCTTTTCGGTTCTAAAAATAGAATGCACGTTTTCTCATAATATTGCATAAACAAAAATAACGTAGGTTTGAAAACCTAACATTTTATTTGGTATTTAATTTCATTCAGTAGATTTTACCTGGTTTCATTGTCAGTTTTGAAATAATCCAATGTTTCAAACTGAGCTAATGAATTGTTTAGAAGGGACTGAGGATAAATTCATCTAGGTCCGGATATAAAGGATAAGTGAAAAGGACAGATTTAGAATATCAACATCGTCGATAGGTTGAGCTTCGCTAAAGCTTTTACAAGCGCATAATCTTCGCTTGGCTGAATATTGAAATTTTGTATGAATTCCGGGCAAGGTTTTTTTACAACATAGACCAAATTTAAACGGTATTAGAATAAGAATTGATGAAAGGTTACAAGCTTTGATCACGGTCTTTACGGAGCTGGTTCTCACCATAAAACGAAGGTGCAATGCGCTTGTTGTCTCTGAAGACAACGCAGAGTCGCAACAAGTAAACGTCAAGTAATACACATTTCCTGCTGAACACAAAAATTATGAATGCAATTATACAATTAGTTGAAGTTTATTATTCCGCATATCTCTTTTCGCAGAACATTGAAATATTGCTCCCCATCACTTGATATTCGTTACACTGTTTCTCTCTCCCATAGTGAGTGAAAAAGCTACCCAACGTTTTTTTGAACGATCGAGTCTGATACGAATTTTTTTTAAACCTTCAGTAACAAAATCCGGTCCAATAATGCTTATTGAATGGAAATTATATTTTAAAAACTAATCAATGTTTATAAAGCTTTTGATTTACCCCCCTCTATATGTTACTGATGCTCAATATCATATTCAATAGAGCCATCAGTATTACAAGTTTCATCTCCATTGCAAACAATTTATTCAAATTTTAAACAACCGATTGGGCATTGTAGGATATTTCACTGTCGACTACTGCTAAGTCCGTTTATGTAGAATTCAGTCGATGAAAAAATGCACATCCCATTTATACTTCAATCTGCTAGTTTTTAACATTAAACATTTCTTATAAAAAGGATTTATTGTGAACGCATTTATACTAATCGCTTTAATACCATTTAATTACTATAGTTTATTGATTACATCGAGCCGAAATTTGGCTTCATCAAAATTGATTTATAGTAGAAAATTTAGTTATTATCTTATCAAATACGATAATAAATTCACCCATTAGAGAAAGAACGATATAGACGCATACTGTAACCATAAACTTAAACGAGTTTAAGCCATGAGAATATACTATTTTAAAATAGAATTCGAATTTTTACAGTGGTTTCACTCATAACAAAAATACTGAGATCAACGTCCTCTATGTGATAATATATGAAATTTTTGCTGAAAATAATCCTAAGCCGCATCGATATGGCTATCTTAAACAATGCTTTCGTATCTGAGTCTGTAACATTCGTGGGAATTCTGCCCTTGTAACGAAGCACGACACGGTAAATTTTTTAGCGAAAATGCCTTAAACGCTGGCCGTCTAACTACTACGATTCGTAAAAATTTTCGCTCACATATCGCAGGGAGGTACGGGAGCCTATAACGTGACTTGCAAAATACGTCAGGTCCTATATAACGCGGTTATCTATCTAGCCAAACTCTTCATGTCGACTAGACTAACAAGTTCTGTGAGGGCACACGAGGCGTATAGGAAAGAAAAATATACATAAAGCACTCTGCTTCTAATGTGTTCTCATTTCATTTGTATATTAAGCGTACTTGAGAACAGCAGAGTTCTACGTGACGGAATGACAGCTAACTGATTCCAAACTACCGAATGGCTGCCAAGAGTTTCTTCGCAGGATATCCTTCAGTGATCAGTGCTATTTCGACGAATTGCATTGTGGTTTACCCAAAGACTTCAACAATTCTCCACTAATGATTTACCAATTTTCCGTATTGTTGCTTTTATTATGGTAGCTATTTTTTGAAAAGTTTTCAAACTCTTTATCATGAATTCAGAAAACAATTCTTGTTCAAGAATGATTGTTGTTGCCAGCAACAATATTAAACCATTGGATGCAGAAGTCTGCTCATCATTTTAATACGTTAAACTCGATGGAATATTAATTTCCATTGTTCATAACGAAATAGTTTTGGATCAAATTTCCCAGTTTGCTAAGATCGATTTTCATTAATTGTAAATAGTCAAGAGAAATTGCACGCTTGCCTCAAATATCAAGCAGGGTCCGATTTTTCACAAAAATTACTGATGCCGATTGCGATGAATAAAAGTGTTGTTATCAGAAGCAGAAACAAACAAACTTCAAATGCAAAAAAATTCTCATGATTTACAGAAATTTGTAAGTGCAACTTAAAGCACTTCACACATGTCTAACAGATGGCTGTCATTCCGTCAAAATAAATTTCGTTTAAACTCGAGACAAGGAAGCATTCGGGTAGAGCGACGGCAAGGATACTCTGCAAGCATTACAAGGAAAACAAGTACACAACCACAAACCTTGATCCCTAAACAGTGCCCCTTAAAATTGGGGGAAGCATAGCAATATCAATAGGAAGATTATTTGTCCTAACGGGTAGTAAAAGGTTAAAATTCTGAGGAGGATTTGACGCGGAAAAATATCGGCTCCTGTGAACATTATAATTCGCAACAAGGCGTAGGTGGATTGGCACAGAAAAGTAATACATGTTTCACTAAAATATTGTCACTCAGGATTGTCATTTGCGTAAATATATTGCATGCGATAATTCACTTGAAACGGTTGGTCGATTCATGACTTTTTTAGAATTTCTACTAGTTAAGCAAATAACTTTTCAACGTTTTATAATTTTTTGAGGCAAGTACAGGGTAATAATAATAATCATGTACTTATCCGGGGCCCTCGATGCAAATTCCATGAAATATTAAGTTTATATTCAGTTATATGTGCTGGAAAACATTGTTTTCGGGCATAATATTTGTTTCAATGGTGAAATATTAAGATGGCTATGGACAATTTTCAAACGCTGTTTCAAACTTCCATCTTCATCTGCCTACAGCATTTGAGGTGAACAAGCGACCGGGAAGCTAACACAATATTTAAGAAAGCTTGTCTAGAAAATTATAATAGATGTTAAGATTGAAGAAATTTCAATTGGTAATTGAAAGAAACTATAAATGCTTGCTTCGTTCCTGCGTGCCACAGAAAAAGTACTCTGCGCAAAAAGATTCTATAGTTATTAAACTATTTCCATTATATTTATCGTCAGGAAAAATACACATTAAAGCTCAGGGTGAAAAACAGTGACATTTACACCACAACATTTCTGTACAAGAACATAATGGATTACCTAGCCCCTAGACCTCATTCATTCGAACTCCGTTCGAAACACAGATATCTAGATTAGGCCCGGAGTTGCGTTTATTTATTTCTCTGTGCAAAATAGATTTGAGCTTGTATAAACTTCTTTTATACATAGATTATTGGCCGCTCCCCTTCAACAAGTAATGCTAAATCGCACTCGTACTGAATCATCAACACTGAAATGAATATCGGATCATACACGTACGCAAAATTCCAATTGTATGAAATGCAGTACATTGTCGAAAGTTCATTTCACTGAGGTTAACACGTACACAGTATTTTCATTCCAATCAAATATCATCCAACCCCGTGGCCTACGAAGTACAAATCTATTTCAGCATCCATAAAAACCCAAAATGAAAAGCTCCAACCACGAAATTTATGATCACCCGAAAATGAAAATCGTATTTTAATAGCATTTCTCTTGGATAACAGCTGTGGAAATTGTTGAGTGACATTTCGAAGAGGGTCAAAAATTCATTTTATTGTCGACGATAGGAAGAATACGTATATAAATGCATCTTTTTAGCCAGAAACATAGTTCCGAAAATATAGAGAGAACTACCTCTCTTTCGAAATTTTGATTGATCCTATCGAGTTTCATAAAAATTAGGTTTATATGAAAATTGATTATTCTTAAATTATTTCCCATTACCCCTTTAATATTAACGCTCATTCTATGCACGAAGCGTTGGTATTTCGACTTATTCTGAGAACGATATCGTGTAGTTGCGTTTTAAGCGTCGGTAGCACTTCTCTCGGCTTCTCTGAGTTCATCTGCACCTCCATATAGACCCTGCATTTGTAAAATACTTACGAAAATACAGACCTTAATGTTAAATGATGGCATAACCAAGCTCACGACATAGCATTAACTCCATGCTGGATTCGTCAGGGTGATTGCACTTTACTCATTTTCAGACATGACTATTAATTCAAGGGCTATAATCCATTGATAACATTAACCACAATGTGTTGCATGACCTACAACGAAATTAAGAGTAGACATTAACGAGTCTGGAACTTGCCAGACAAGACGAAGGATTCCGGGATGGTCTACTAACAAGCTACAAGGTTGGGCATACGAAGAGGGTGTCTCAATAGCGATCAAGTTAACATGCTGCTGGTAACATTGTGGTTATTTCTGCCAACCTAGGTAGACCTTCTATGTTTAGTAAGACTTTCCTCGTGTACTAGACTACTCTCTTGATGCTTATCGTGTGTCGTTTGTCCAAGGGTATTTTTGGACACATTCTGAAACCTCAATGCTTCTTTCCTCGTCCGCGCATTATTTTTCAGTTTTCGGTGCATCTTTCTAGCCGCCACAAAAAAAAAAAACAAGCTAGGGTGCTCCTCTGGACTCGTAAAACCGCGACTCTGGAGAAAGATGAGCATATTTCATGCATAATTCTGGACTCTTTTTACAATTCAAACACCCACTTCGAGGAACGATGAACATCTTTCATGAGTAATTCTAGAAGTTTGTATTCTATGAAACTTCTACAATCAGATAATTCTTCACTGCATGCCTTTTGTGTCTTATACGCTTGTGTCTACATATCTCGGGATAATCTTCTTAACCTATATATGGTTTCTTTAACAAGAACAACCGACTGTAAAAAGTTAACATGCAGAAATTTTTCATCAAGCGTGCTTAGAAATTTTTCATCAAACGTATACCATCAACAGACAAGTTAAATTTGTGTTAATTAAAATTGTTTAACTTTGCGGAAACGCTAAAAATTCGACTTCGCTAAGGTTATCCAACTTTCTTATTTAATTTGTCAATGATTTTGTATGATAGTATGTGGTTACAAATTGGTCAGAAAACATGTATTCATAATTATGTACCCTATTATGAGTTTAAATAGTAAAGAATCTCTGGAGCAGCAATTCATTTGACAACTGTGTGTGGCCGTGGAGTTGAAGTGAGCAGTGTTGCAAGCGATGAAGAAAGCGGTGTGTCTTGATTACAAAGGGCAAAGTTGGTGCTTCAGTCTCTACCGGATCACATTCCAGCAAGAGATACACTTCGACATCCCCTGTTCAAGATCCATCTCCATTTCTAGAAATTCAGTCGCGGTAGATTATTAAAATATATCTAACTTGGCCATTCATTCTTAATAGGAGACTTCTTCCAGTGTCAGTCAAAATCATTCTTCATCAGCAGAACAGTAGCAGCACCGTGTTTTCCAATCATAAGCGAACCTTTTCTTTGCAGAACTCCTTGCTTATGCACTAAAATAAGGAATATGCCGCCCATATATAGTCTTTCCATTTCTTCCATCGCTTGCAGTTGCAAACTAGATTTGTAGGAAAATTCGGATCTATTCTACGAGAGAAAGTTGCCGTTATTGTTGGCCGTGGCTTGCCCGACTGCCGCTGCCGCTCCGGTCCCTCGTGGATGCCCGTCGTGGAAACGGGGACGTGGCGCCGTGGTGGTCAAACAGGCGACCTGGGGTCGTGGGGTCGTGGCGCAAGGATGAATGGAAGCGACCCGTTACACGACTTCTGTTTTGTGGGCCGCGTGGGCCCAAGGGAAGAGATGACTGTTTGTTCAGCTGGCCTCGGGAATTACGCCTGCACAAATAAATACTTGGTTAGAGAAGATCATAACAGATGATGTTTGAGCTGTGTTTCGTTTCTCGTAAACCGATTTATAGTAATTGCATTCTTTAGAGTAAACCAATGTTTGTGCCATGTAAATAAAAAAAATCTCTGCCCGCAATCACGAAAAATGAATATCTGCTGATTGGTGGAACCTCACAGCATTTAAATCCATTCAAACAAATTATTCTTTCATATTATGTAAAAGCCTCAACTAAAGTTCGTTTAAACATAAAAATGATTAATGAACATAATATAATGATAATGATATATAATGGTCATAATATTATGACAATGAAAGAGCAATAACACAACATCTCACATGACAGCTGTTACTGCTATGGAAGGGTGGTCAAAGCCCCCAAGATCTGCAGCTCCAGAGAGACTCATTTTTCTCTCGAGTGTTCGCGCGACGGCTTTGGCCTCCCCCGCTGTGGCTGAGGTTGACGCTCGCGACTGGCGCCAAAGTGCGACTGTTGAGTCGTCGAGCCCCTGGAAACCTGCATACTCGGGGGAGTAGCCGTAAGGGCTTCCGAGAAACAAGTTCTGTAGACACAAAACAGAAACAAGCATCAAGATAACTGCCCAACATGACGTAAATTCCTTAATATGTAGCCATGAACGTAAGTTTTGCTATTTCATTGTCGTGTTCGAGTGTTGGTCTATCTCAAAATTAGATACCCATTTTCTCATAAGCTTAGTAATATGTCATTAATCCGACTTGGTCTATTTCAAAATTAGATACATTTTTTTCAAACAAACAAGCTTAGTGATTTGTGATTCATCCGACTTATCCCATTTGATTACTTTATCGAAAAAAGCTCAGCAAACACAATTATACTTGAACTTCATTTTAATAAGAAGCTGTATTTAGCTTTGTTGTATAAAATGTGTAGCATATGAAATCCGGAAATTTATTTCAAAAGCGTCAAGTCAATTAAGCAGCATAAATTGGTTCACATGAATTCTGCATCAGAAATTATAATTCTGTACGTCTAAAGTGAATATCTTTAACGAAATACTTACTCACATCACCGATCTGTATGAGTAAAACTTTGGCTACCCTATACGTAGCATGCATTTTTAAGCACTTGATCTCAAGTCATTTTAATCAAGTGATTTTTAATAATATTCATATATACACAATTAATTTCAGCTACTTAATGAAGCCTAAACAAATAAATTGTTCAGAAGTATCTCTTCAGCCTTGTGTTAGCCTGTTTTCTTTCGAGTAAGAGTTCTAAAAGGTAATAAGCGATGCATAAAAACGTGCAGTTTATGCGTTTGCTCAATTATAAAATTAAATGAATATCTTTAATAAAATTTTGAATACTATTTCCGTAAAATAATTTCAGTGATTTAAAAAAATTATAACTTGACAAAAGGCCATTTTAAAGACATTGGTCTATCACAAACTTCTCAGATGCCGCCCTAATCTTTCGATATTTTTAAATCACTTTTTAAACTAAATAGAAGATTATAGTGCGAGTATAATTAACCCAAAATGTGGTTGCATTTTAAGTAATATAGTTCTAAGAAATATTCACTAAGAGAAATGAAGAAAGCCAAAATAATGAAGCGTTTTTAATAGAAAAGCGTTTTGCAGAAGTAAGTGATCTAATTTCTGATTTATTCGTAGCAGAACATTTGTACAAAAGCTTTATTCCAAATCGAAGAAAGTATTTCTACAGGGTTTTCTGTTAAGTCTTGAAGTTTATGGAAAGTTCTTACAATGAGGACTTTACCAGTGTTATTAGAGTAAAGAAACTAAAGAAAAAGAAAATCAAAGGTTATTAGGCAACCTGTGTAACGTGAGAATCCAATATCGTTTGAAACAGGAATCTTTAAACAAATCCCGAGCAGCAATTTTGAAATCATTTTCAGGTTTCATTGTTGAAGCAATACAGGACAAATCGAACATGTGCCTCAACCACGATTTTGTCATAAAGTATGAGCCAACTTAAACATCTATTATGAAATTATTGTCAAGTAACGCTCGGGCATTAAACTGATTGCAAAGCGCTTAGCAGTTTACCTGATTGCCATAGGCAAAGCTCTTCGAATCAAGTGAGTCCATGCTATGATCCGGACCAAACGAACTAGATTGGGATGGGGAGACTACAGGAGAGGCCGACAAGCGAGAGGTATGGGGCGGGAAGTCTTGAGTAGTAGGAGTGCCGGGCGGCGGGGTAGAAACTGACGTTGTGGCCATATCCATGACTGGAGGTGGGATTATCACGTCGTTGACCATCATCATGTCTCCGATGATGAAGGGATCGCCGGGTCCTTTAAGACGTGGACTCATGGGCGACGCTTGGTGTGGCGGAAGATGTTGCTGGTGCTGCAAAAGTTGCTGGGGCTGTAACTGTAACGGTGACGGATGTCGGGCAGATACGTGGTGGGCTGCAGAAGGTGGTGACAGAGATGTTGGGGTTTGGGGAGGAGTCATGGGTGTCGTGTGAGAAGGGGAATGAGAGGAGTGCAACGGGGAGCCATGGGATAGGGAAGAAGAGGCTTGTACTTGCGGGTTTGGGGACGGGGATCGATGGGAAGCCCTGGGTGATGGCAGAGTCAATTTCAGAGGATTTACTGCTTCATCCTGAGAAAAGCGGCGCTGCCGACTGCTGCTCGAGCTGCCGTCAGGCTTGTGGCGCACTGAGTGACCTGAAATTTTGTGCATGGATCAATTTTCATGGGGGTTACACAAGTACATTTCGGTTCCAACATTTATTATTTGGGATAAACACTGCCACACCGGGGAAAAATAATGTTGAATCTATCCTGACGTATCAAGGAAAATTATCCTACATGCATTGTTACGTGCAGTTATTATGATGGTGAAACTATTGCTTATTCGTATGGTCATATTTTCATCTGAAACAACAGGTGGGAAAGATCAAACCGGATTTTTATTAACGGTTATAGCATTTTATAAGATCTGGTTCTCGATCTTTCCTGATCTATCACTGATGAACTAGTTACTGAGAAAAAATCGCTGCTCACGATTATGTACGATAATTTGAAAATATGCAATCCAGTGATCGTCGACTGTTGATAATTGACAGTGACTGGTGCGTTTTTGCGCGCTTGTGTATGTTTACAAACCAAGAACATATACACCACCACCAGCCGACCATCTTGACGCTGTATACCTCCTTAAACTTGTTTACTAGCAAACATATTACTCGAACTCGGCTACGGAAATTATCTGCACCGAAACCCCATCTCTGATTTACAAGAGTGTCACTCACTCCTCATTTGAGGGGAAGGCGCTCGATCCCCAGGTCGAGGTGAGATGGGGGAAGGCAAAAGGAGCTTAAGCGTAGCGCCGTGCAACTCTGAGCCGACGATCCCCGTCACTGCGGCGTTCCCTTCTTCGTGGGAGTTGCGACGCGACCTGCTACCGTCGCGGCCGTCGCGGTGGTGGTCACGCATCGAGCGGCCTGTCATTTATAAGGCTATTGCAAACGATCTTTGTAATTTGCATATGAACGATGCATTTGTTCAAGAAAAAACAGCATTCCTAAGAACAATAGCAAGTATGAAGCCTTTATCTCTTCTCTCTTCAATTTTTATATGAGCGATGCAATTGTTCAATAAAAAAAACAGCATTAACAAAAACAACAGCATATATAAAGCAATGAACTCTTCCACCTTCGGATAAGAGCCCAGTTATTTTTTGGATAAAGACTTTTTTACAATTCGAGATATCTCCCAATTAAAAAAATTCAAACGGCAAGATCGTGATGAATAATTCGAGAAAATATGAATCAGTACTTCCTTACGAAACATCACATCGACATCAACAGCGTGGTAGTCGCTTGAATCAAAACCTGAGAGAAGGTCTACCCAGAACCTAGGTAATAATTCTATTCGCATGTCTAATGTTTATATTCGTGAGTGTAACATTTTTATTCGTGTGTGTACATTTTTATTCGTGTGTGTAACGTTTGTATTCGTGTGTGTAACAATTCTATTCGTGTGTGTAACATTTATATTCGTCTGTGCAACATTTCCATTCGCGTGTGTAACATTTCTATTCGTGTGTGCAACATTTCCATTCGCGTGTGTAACATTTCTATTCGTGTGTGTAACATTTTCTATTCGCGCTTGTAACATTTCTATCCGTGTGTGTAACATTTCTAACGGTGCGTGAAATTTCTATTCGAGTGTGTAACATTTCTATCCGTGAGTGGCATTTCTATTCGTGTGTGTAACATTCCTATTCGTGCGTGTAACATTTCTATTCGTGTAATACTTCTTGGGGACGGTGACAGGGCTCGATGAGAGGGCCGAGGAGAGGGCAGGAGTAGCTTGAAGGAGCCTTTGCGTGCATCTTCGGCGCTGAGACGATCACGGTCTGTGGCAGGCGGTATGCCGTGACTGCTTTCTCTTCTGCCGTCGTCTGGAGAACTTCTTCTTGCCATTACTGATCCTGTACGATGAGGATCTCTCATCGAGTGGCCTGAAGAAAGGTAAGTCGTCAGTGCGAGGGACTCGAAGAAAAGTTGACGATGTCGTCAGTATACGGTGAGCTGCGCGAGAAATCGATGAGATTTTCCAAAATATTGGCAAATTTGGCAGTGAATGTGGGAATAAAATTATCAAATGTACTTGATTCATAGCAATATACATTTTCGTTTAATGAAATTCGATTGGTCGCCTCCGAAGTCCAACTGATCGTCCGTTAAAGTTTTTTTTTCATAGCAATTAATACAACTTTCTGTCAAGGTTTATGATCAAATGGGTTTATGCTTACTTTCTATTTAATATTCAAACATTATTAAAAACCAAAATATATCTGGCTAATTAAGGCAAGATTTCGATTGAAAGATGAGCAGAGCAAATTTTATGACAAATTTCAATCTCAAAATTTTCGTGATCGTTCATTTCCGGGATTTAAAAAATCTGAAAAGTAATTACAGATGAGGATTTGGTAGACATACGGACCGCCAAATGTCGTCCGTATGCGAGCTGCCATTCATTTACGCTAGAAAGAACTTTATTACAGTGATAGCTATAAAAATGACATAGGCAGTTATAGGGTCACCTTTCAGAATGATAAATACAACCTTACCTCCTACCTAAACATAATTAAAATGTTCTCAACCACTGAAATTTAAAATAAAGCCACAGCAATTTTAATTTCAACAACAGAAAAATTTCACATGAAGGCGAAATTCGCTCAACTTGCGTCCATGAACTAAAAGCTCTGAATATTTTATTTCTGCCCTGTGGGGAAGGGTAACGCTCAAGATCTTATGCATTGCATTTTTTTACTTGATAACCGATAGTAATAGGAGAATGATGGCGTAAAATATGTCCTGTAATGATGATTTTTGAAAGAAGTGTATATTTGATGGAACTGTCAAAATAATTTTAGATGAACGAAATTTTTTTCTTAACATTTTTTGTCAGATTAAACGGCCAAATTGTAATTAAAATATAAACTATAATAGTATGCAATTTAAAATTATTTCGTTAGAGGTTATTGATTTTTATTTAACTAAAGCTTAAATTATAATCTAAGAACTTTACGTCAGCCAATATCATTTCAGAGTTGCAGATGAATTCACGGCATCGCTCCTGAAAAATTCCCCTGAAACAAATATTTCTGTGCTTTTCAATCTTTTCAGTCAACATGAGTGGAATTTTTCATCCCCGAATTCCGTTTGCGAAGTTATACATCAAAGCTGCTTCCATATGCAAGTACAGGGCCTCACAGATAAATATTCAAACATAACTAAGAACACATCTCGTAGAATAGACGAATTAAAAAAAATATACACTGACCATGCATTTAATTTTATCCCAGTGGCGCTCACATTCGCGTGTTCTCCTTATATCAAAACCTGAGGGAAAGTCTCTACCAAGAACCCAGGTCACGGTTATTAAACAAGTCTCGAATAGATTAAATGATCATCACCTGAAATGTAGACACATGTTCAAACTTCGAAAACATTTACTTGTGTGTAGAGATAAAGTTATTAAAGGCAAAAACATCTCATGCAATACATAAAATTAGTTGTACCTGGCAAAGTTTATTCAATTATCAAGATATGGAGTCAACATCCATGCTAGTGGAAGCACTCAAACTACTCGCAATATATACTAGACGAACAAATACAACGAAATTTTTATTTACGTTTTATAGTGATTTAATAGACAAATAATTCTGGAAGTTAGTTGCGGTTAGATACTGTAGAAATATAGTGGCTCAAATGTAAACAATAAAAATGCTTAACGATGAGACACAGAATTTATTTCTTTAAGAAAAAGAAATGATTATTTCGCTGTGATGGTTAAGATCATGTTCAATGCTTTAAAAATATTTTGTTTATCACAAGTCAAATTGAATAAAATTTAGGAACGTGGATAAATGCTTCGAAAAAAATCAATTCTCAAAAGTTCATTGGTTTGTTCCTCATAATTTAAATCGAGAACCCAGCAACCTCCTGCAACCGAAAGAGAACTTATAATTAGAGCAACGCTAAACAGTGAATAGGAAAGTTTGAATAACGGGATTCGTTCTGGTCTCAAAGCCATGCAAACTGAGTCATTGAATCAAAACTACCAACACCCTTTTTGTCGAGGAGGAAGTACAATATAACATAATACACTGATTGGGACCAACAATCTCTATATTACAGGCAACACGGAGTGTTGCAGAACATGGGATTTATACCAATATCCTAAACTCGTCCACCTTTTCGACGTCACAAGTTTTATTCGTAGCCAACCTGTTGTTTCTTTTTGGCAGAAAAATGTGTCTTTTCTCTTTGCTTTTCAAAACTCGCTAAAAATAACATAGGCAGAGAGGTCGTAACCCCTCAATCGCTAACACTCGTCCAATTCGCCCTCATGATTTTGTTTACAACTTAAATCCGAAGGAAAATGTGTTAACAATGAAATTATAGTGATTCACTAGGGCGGAGAAAATGAAAATCTTGTAAATGGCGGAACAAAGGGAAATGTCAAGCATGCAACACTAACAATAAAATTTGTGCAGTATAAGCTCAAAGTGAAGAGGAAATCTACATTTGTACACAAGCAAGAGCCACAGTTCGATAAGCTATCAGATTAGATTTGTTAGCGATGAATTTTTATAGAGCCTAATTGACAGTCTACCAATGGAAGCGCGAATTGAAATTCTTGATTGCAATAACCAAGTATTAGTTGTATCAATATGAGAGTCACTTGAAATTAATACGAATTCATTCACGCAAAAAAAAAATCGATGCCTGTTATCATCCAATTAAAAACCAGGAATGCTGAAAATTCGTGCGAGATATTGTGTAGGTTGATGAAATTTGTGGTTAACAAAAAAAGGTTCTCAGCACACGCATTATAATTCGTATAAGGCTTTCAAAATATCCCGCTTGATCTTTAAAGTATTGATTTTTCACACAATCAAGGACATGGCTATATTCCAACTATAATTATGGACTGTTAATTGACGGCCAAATTCTTTGTCGCCAGTTTCCGTTAATCATTTTAACTTGGTGATGAAACATTTTTTCCGTCGAAAGGTCATTGAAGAAAAGCAGTGACATATAATTGTGGTAAGTAGCGTTGTCGTAAATCAAGAAGTCATTGTTGTCGTCGATTTAATTTGAGCTGTTGGAGTGCAAGCTAATAAATTTTTAAATGAAGTGAGAGACGTAAAAGTAATGAAAAGGAATTCGTTACAATATCCGTATTGTCAGAAGTAACAGCAGTAGCAAGTTGAGTTGAGGGTGACGACATCAATCGAATATTCTGTTTTTAAACATGTTATAACACTTATTTTCTACGGGTCTGGTATTACGGAGTTGTTGATTAATTGATAATACAATAGAAGAGATAGAAGATCGTAGATATATACGAAGGGCACATTACACCACTCGGGTAACATTAAAACTCAGGTGTAAAATTTTCATGTGAGTCAATACTTCTTGGCTGCGGAGACACAGATCGGTGATAAGACTGGCTGTTGCGGGGAGAAGGTATAAAATTTCGCAGAGAGCCTCCTCGCTCGGTGCTAGCGGCACCTGTAGACGACGAGGGTCGCCGTACTTCGTCAGGCGCGAACTCTTGGCGAGACGTGCGCATTGAACGACCTAGATCATTGAATGCGTGTGACTTTTACAAGTCAAGCAATATTGACACTTGAAAATATGGGAAGAAGGGACTGTATTATCCGTTGCGTGTAATTAACTGAAATTCTACCTGAAATTCTAACGACAGGCGTTCTATGTATAAAGTAGAACATTCATTCGTTTCATCCAATCGAGTCAAATGGTCATGAATGGCAACATTTGGTTAAAATATAAGCAACAAACTTATATTTAAAGCTGATGCCGTAGATGTTTTCCAACACACTCAAATAAGAACAAAATAATTATAAACATTGGCTACATGCAGTTGGCGTGACTCTGAATTTGCTGCCAGTTAATCTCAGAGCTGTGTACGTAAAAACTTCATGGTACGTAAAAAGGTTAAAAAAAGTTGAACAACAACTCAGTTGAGTTGTGTTATCTATGTACCTAATATTTTTAGAGGTACCCCAAAGTTCAATAATATATAAAGATTAGAATAACATTTGGCAAGAATGAAAAGTATTGAATATATCAAATCCTTGTTAAATTTCTTAATAGATGCACGGGCGTTCTTGCAAGCCGCAGAAATGGTTCGACGAAGATACCGTTTAAAATGGCAGAATCTGTAATAATTCTAGAAGCTTTCACAAATAAATTAGATTAGATAAATTAATTATCCTGTGGTTGGACCTGGAAAATGGGAATAAATATTAGACATGAGATCGTCACAGAACGAAAGCAGCACATGAATTTAGAGGTGCGTAATCAACACAGTTCACACTTATAAAATAACAATTAAGGGAAATTCGAGGAGTTAGTCTAAGCTCAGATGGGTCTGAATCACTACTCAACACCATTCTTAACGAATTGTAACAAATAACGAGATTCGAAACGTTCCCCGCGTTGCCATTGGGGTACGATTCCCTAATATTACGTAATCTCCTCGGCTTTTGATTCACTTCATTTACATGTAAATGTTGCTTACAAATGTGCTTGGTGGAAAATGAAACAGATTAGTTCGGAAAAATGTTGGAATTGCTGGTCAAATTTAGTTTTTGAAACAAGACTCCCAACGCACGGGGAACGTGAAAACATTTGGACATGCAAGAGGGAAACAACAAAGGCGTCTAGCATCACGGTATGTAAAATTTGTTGAGCGAATTTCTTAGGTCATTATTGTACTTAGGAACATCTAAGTTCCGAATAAAACATTCGATTGTTCAAAATCTTTTTAGAATTATGAACGTTACAGCTTGTAAATCGGAACAATTATTTTATTCTTCCGTTTTAATTTAGTATAAGATGCTTCTAAAAACCGAAACGATTGTTCACACTTTACATCGGTATCGATGTGAAATAGCCGACCCCACATTGCGTCAAATTAATTTAAGCCACAAAAATTGCTAGAAAAAGTATAATTATGTTAATGAACATCGCCGCATCAGGAGAATTTTTTTTTTCAAATCCTACAAGATGAGATATCACATTCATAAAATGCAAAAACGACGCATAAAAATTCTTTATGCGGGTTGAGAGTTCAAAAACGTCAAATAGCAGTTTTTTTAAACATTGTTAGAGTAGTAAAAAGTCAATCAGGTAAAACCAATTTACAGTTTTTGAGCGAAATTCACATATCACAAAAGTTTGCTGCAAAAACCATTGAATTTCACTGACATTTTCCACAAAAAATTGCACGTTCTACACACCAGTATTGTTTCGTGATAGGGAATATCGAGGCAAGAGTTTTCGGGAGGAAGGACCTCAATTTCTACTTGTTTTCCAATGCTTGGTCGTAATGGGTAGACATCTCAGTCTTGGATAGGGGAGACATTCTGGAAGCTCAGATTGTTTTATACGAATTTCTTGGCATTCAATACTAGCGGAGTGAAGGGTGGAAGTTAATTATTTGAAGAGTTAAAATGTTGGGAGGAGAAGGAGGAATAAGGCAGAAAAATTTTGCAGGAAAAAGCTTTGGGTTTACAGATACAACACATAATTCGAGTTTCGTATGAATAATTTCAATCCGAGGAATCCAGAACAAAGTTGAAGCTCCTTGGTAATAAGAAAAGGTTCTAGTGTACATGGCGTTTTTCCTGTAGGTATCATGCGCATGGATGTTGCATCAGGCAGGTATGTGAAACATTGTAATGTCTTGAGCAGGGCATAAACACAACATCGAATCACGAGAGCTTTTGGTTGGATTGTTGGCCTAGAAAATGAATAGAACAGGGAAAACGGCGGTGGCCAAACAGGGTTGATATACTTCTCGGTTGCGGAGACAAAGATCGCCGAAGTCGATTTCGCTGCGGCGAATGAGGCGAAGGCAGCAGTCGATTATGGTCGGTTTCGAAATCATTTCCACTTGCATCGTTCCGCATTGAAGGCCTTCCAGTCTCCAGTTCGCGGCCCCGCTGCCTCATTGACTGACCTTCGATGAGAGGACCAGGAACGACGACTTACGAGGGCTCTTTATTAATTGCTTTTCATGATGTTCTAAGTTCTTATCAGCTACGTATTTAGTCTCCTTAGCCTAGCTACCTTTTTGTGATATATTCAGAATAATTTTTTTGTAAAAGTGTACTATTACAATCACAACATGTACCCTGCCTTTCAGAATTTACGAGATAAGAGCAATATGACTGGATCTAACCGTGAAAATTGATTTTATCCATGAAATTAAAGGAAATCAAATGTAATTGAATGATTGACTATCCAATGATATAAAAATTTGGATCTAAGGATGAGAATGACTGAAAGATGATCTAAAACCGCATCAGACTAAGCCAAATGAAGTTCGCTAATAAATTATGCCCTGCGGCCTGTTTGCAATCTACTTTGCCTTATCTAGTGCCTCCAACAATTTATTTCATGTAAAAAAAACCTAATACTTTAGTATGAAATCAAAATATAAACCGGTATCTATGTCGATACCAGAAAGAAAGGACCAAAATTGGGACTCAAGACAACACCAAATTTGACAGCGCATTTAGCATTGATTAGCTGAACAACAGCATGGATCAGCAGGGATAAGTTAGGTCAGCAGGGACAACTTTGAGGTAAAGTAGGTTCCTTCAAAATGTACATTCAAAAATTGGGCTCAAAATTGCGTAAAAATTTGGTTGGCTAAGCTATTGGAAATTGGGTGAGCACTAGACAGCACGTTGAAGGCAAACTATCGAAACCTTCACTGCACCTTGTTGAACTAAACTGATAAACTATAGTGCAAATCATCACTGCTCGAAGGAGAGACCTTTTCAGGACGAGAACAACAACAAGCAAGGCGAAGGGAACAATGACAGTAGGGCGGGAGAAAACAATAACTAAATGTAACCAATGTTTGTGTTGGTCATTGATGTGTAAAAGACAGAGAACAGAGCGAACATAAACGAAAACACCGAAGGACATTGCACACACACAAACGAGTAGCTTGATGTGTCTAACCAATTTCACTCTCAAATATGAATGATCTGAATCTGCACATTTATCTGGACACCAATCAGGCACAAAAATCGGTCCTAGTGATAAAAATAAGTTACATCCACAAAATGTCGCTTAATCTTGCGTCATGATGCGATACATGAATGTCGAAGCACGACTTGTTTGAACAGGCAGGCAAAAACATGTGCCAAACGGAGAATTATAAGAACACTACTTCTGAATTGCTGTTGCCGTTGCTGCTGCTGTTGCTGTAGATCAGATCTTCTGTACTGGGATCTGTGAGAACTGGAGTGCAGTTGAACTTGATGCTGTTGAGTTTGGTGATGATTTGACGTATGGGAGGCGGAAGACGGGTAGTGTTGAGTGGATTGTTGACGGTGTAACTGAGGCTGAGGTTGATGCTGAACAGAATTTGATCTTTGATACGTTCTTCTTGGTCTCGGAGAGGCCGGAGTCACTCTATAATTTCCCGCTCTAGACGAGGCATTAAAAGACGGCTCTAATACTGCCGAGGCTACCTCGGCCCAGCGTGGGTACGACCGCGACGGTCTTAGGACAGCGTTGCGACCTCCGACACCGAGATCGCCTTCTTCTGGGGTGGACACTCTCAGCGACTGACCTGGCAACACACTCAGCTGGTTACCCGGACTCTAATTCAACAAAATGTGTTTGAGTCGCCGAAACATGGTATTTTAAAAAGTTACGTTATTTTCTGTTGGTGTATACCTACCTTAATACGACGAGATTTCAATGCTAACGCTCGTCACATTGGGAACAGACCAGGATTACTAATGCCAATACCTCGCGACTAGTACTTTGAAGATTCGCTTATCAAAATTTGCATATGTACCATAATTGTATTCAGATACCAGAATTTTTATTTTCACTATCTCGTGGTAAATTAATTAGAAATTTTTTCAACACAACGAAGAGACTTCGGCCGAGCTTGTTCAACAATATACTTTTAACTACAGCCAAATCATGCTTTCCTGCACCAGTCCCCGCAAGGTCAACATTATCAGTTTTAAGTCGATTAAAATCCCCCTTCACTTCCAACATTAAGAGACGGGCGTCGAATGTTTGGAATTTCTTGTTAGGAACCGCTTCAGTATACAGGGAACATTGATTTAGCTCAAAGAAAATGAGTTCTACGAATATCACGTGGATGCATGTCATAATGAAACATATATTTCCGTGTCCATGTCTTTGATTTTAGCTGATAAGATATTTCTAATTTTATTTCGAGTTGATATGCTAAAATCAGACTAGGATTTCTGTACCCTAAGAAAACGGCTAGTATAGGACAGAATTTTTTATAAGAAACGGTCATTTAAATTGTTTTAGCCATCGACTTGATTTTTTTCCTTCAAGATTTTCCGTAAGTAATAAATTTAGTAAATTTTATGTCCAAGTAATGAAATAACAATGAATGTAATTTAAATGAGAGAATTCATAGTCAATGACATAAAATAGTTTACCGGTATCGAATCTTGTGGAGAGTTAAGAGAACAAACTTCTGTTTACATAAAAAAGCGGCCAACAAAATGAACATGAATGAAACATGAAACTAAACATTTTTTCATTTATATTTGAACCCTTTTCTATCATAAAAATTTGCATGTGCTACTTTATTCTATCGTTTTTTGAAGAAAAGTAGGAACGCTTGGTCTACGAATCAACAAGTACTAACATTTTGTTTTCAAAAAATATGTTCATTGTAACTATCAGACGACAGGAACAAAAACCTAATGTCTATGTGTATTGACTTCGTCAACATTGATGCGAATCCAAGACCCAATCGAATCGAATCACAGACGATCGAATTTAATCAGACAAGTAAATGCTAAAAGTAATTCTTGTTCCAATTTGTTTTGTTCATCTTTCTGGAATTGAAAATTAAAATGATAGTATTATTGAAAATGGAGAAAATGATTGCATTAAAAATTAGTTATGTTTCACGGTAAGTAAGTTTGACTGGGTTGGAGTTATTTTTGCATTTCTAATCCAACAGCATTATGCGTTTATTTTAAAGTCATAAATGCCCCAAACGAAATATGAAACCTTTTTACAACCCGTTTAATCTTATCCCAGAGCTCTAAAATTTTATGGTTATTAAGTTTCATCCTAAAATAACTCGCCGATTCACCCGCGTTCCAAAGGCGTGGCTGGCAATCTCGAGCCCTTTAACATCGTCTGTTCATCGAAAATGAAATACTGCAAGTGTCAGCTAATAAAATTTTCCAGCAGTATTACTAGTACATCTTATTTTAAACTATGTATCCAAAAGACGACTCCACAGTGACGGGTGAACTTCATTACTTTGATAATATGCAAAGAATCTACGGGAATTTAGAAACAGAGTTCAATCGGGCATCAAGAATACTAGGAAAATTTGCAGGGAACAAGATAAATACTAGACTTTTGGTCATATTTGGAAAGTTCCTGATTGGGATCATTAGTTTTCACTGAGTCTTGATCGAAACCAATGAATATGTTAATGAAAATCTATCAATCTCGAATTGAGAACAGTTGTTGAAAATAAACGGCATGATATCAGGACTAAAATCATAAAATTTTCAGTATTTACCTGGGCATTATTCAATTAAACTATGTTATATTTGACATTGGTAGTATACACCAGAGTGGGCTACTGAATCCTTTCAATTGAGAAATCAATCAAAATCGACAAAGTCTTTCATGTTCAATATTTTTTATGATTTGCGACGATTCTTTCCATATTTAATTTGTGAATTCTGAACACACTATTTGGTTTGCAATTTACGGCATTAAATGGGAAAAAGCAAAACTACCCAACATTTACTGGCATACGTACACATAGTTAAAGGAATGTGGAACGCAACGGGTATTTTCTCAGCCAAGGAAGATTCAGCGAGAGGAAATACAAATTTACAGGGTCCAGAAATACACGAGTAAACTGATGGCAAACTTCTGAGAGGTCTTAGATACTTCGAAATTGGAGCGATGGAGACATCGGCCTCCGTTCCAATTGCTGATGGCTCCTAAAAATAAGTTCTTCTGGATCACGGCCGCCACTATCATCGCAGTAACAGACATTGCTGTAGGCACACGTATCGTTGGGAGCAACGTGCAAGCAAACGCCTGATCTGGAGACATTGCTGTGATAGGAGCGGTGGAAGTGACGCTGGTCAGGGTTTGTAGGAGAATTTAGCCGATAACTTCCCCCTTGTCGCGACTTCCGTCGATGCTCTTGCTGCGAGAGACGCCGGAACGAGCTTGTCGACTCGTTCCGACTTTGTCTCAAGGATTGGCCTGCGTGACATTACCATTACCCATACAAAAATCGAAGGCTTGTATGATATGTGTTTCGACTGAGTCGTATTAAAAATCAATATCTCAAGATTATTAGCCAACCACTTGCTGTGCTGAGGCTATGGCGGCACGCAAAAAAAAATCGTACCAGCAAATTAAAAAATCAACTTTTATATTAACAATTGACTAGGGTGACCAGTACTGAATTTGCAGTAAAAATTAAGAGAACCTGGTTAGACATTAATTAATTATTGGCTTCTAGTCAAAAAAGTTCTCACGGGTTGAATTTTGAATAATAGAACATTCGCGGCAAGTCGTGGGTTATCTACTGGTCAGTAATAAGCCCAACATCAGTTAAAACGGCAGACTAAAAATATATAAATATTTAGAATTTAGAATCAGGCTCGTACGTTTTCGCAGCTTAGTTATCGGCTTTTGGTGGCCATCTATTTAACAAACTGGTATTAACTGGTTTTGGAAATAAAGGACACTTCCCACGATAATTTCCTCAAAAAGTCTCGGAAATGGGTAAAATTTACGTATTTATCCAAATTCGACATTATATCTTGAGTTGAATGCTAGGAATGAATTGTTTACAGACGCATGAAAGCGGCTTCTTTGACTGGAGTATTAGTGACGTAAATCACGAAAGTTTATTTGCATTCTCAACACGTGACGATCCTCAACAAGCAAGGCTCATATTTCTTATTTTACCGGTGGGAGGTTCGCAAGGCCCTCACTTAAAACAGTCATTTTATGACTTAAGAACTATCATTATTTGGTTGGTAATAGTAATAATTGTGTGTACCCAAAATATTGTTTTACCATAAAAATTTTTATGATGCACGAGTATATTACTCTAGAAAGTTTTTGAAGGGTTTTAACGAAAGGCTGAAACCATTACACCAAAATTTTTCAATTGGTTTGGATTTATTTGATTAAAATGCTTTTCGTTTTTACTTCCACACTCAATTTATACTTTCTAGTTGCGCATTACGGTTAAATTATTAAGGATATTTTCTTCAGGAACCCCAAACGTTGTCCCTATTTATCCATGAGGATTTCTAAAAAGTTTTAAATTGCATACACGAAACACATTTTTTTAATCACTTATCAAGTATTTCGAAAGAAGGAGTTTGTCTTTTATAATTTTCATTAAAATTTAGTTTTAGAAACCACTGATATGAATTGTTATAGTGGCAGACCGGAAACCGAATTAAAAAAAAATGTTTAGATTTATTCCGAAATTCATTCAATAATATTCACCGAAATTCAATTATATGAAAAAAATAAGGTTTCATCAGTTGAATAAAATCAATGAAGAAGAGAATCATGCGATATAAATTTTTTTGAATTGGAATATTTACCATTACCAATTTTAAATTATTTTCTACTATCTTTGCCTTCCTACCTATTGTATGACAGTCATTATTCAAAATATTTTAAAATTCTTTATTTCTATTATTTTAGATTAAGGCTCTATTTTTTCAACCCAAATAATTGAGATGTTATCAATCAGCTCGCAGTCACACTATACGAGAATTAAATGAATAAATTCGCGCTAATTAAAATCGAAAACACTTAGGCGCTCGACATGGGCGCGGGACGCTATTTCAATGCGTAGCCATGTAATTAGTGACGAGAATTTGCATACAAATTCGTACTCTTAGAGGAGAAAACAAGCTTGTCGCTGAAAATGTTAAAAATCTGCGATATTAACGTTTTTAATTGATTTTGATTTTAAATAATGTTAATTTAATTTTATGAGTGGGGCATCGAAAGCCTTGAGAGAAACAGGAATCAGGCGCGATAATATCATTTTAATTATGATTAAAGGTGGTCTTTAAATTATTTATTGCTACCAAAAATGTAGCATTTTTATATTTTCCAATGGTTATGGCAGACAAGTAATTAGCAATGTTTATCAAGTCCTAAGTAACGCGATGTTTAGTTGCTCACATTTTAATGATGAATAGTTATGATGATGTTTATCACATAAATGTTTTTGACACCAACAAATGACACAACAAAGAGGACGACTGACGTAGAAAGTTATGTTCAAAGTCAAATGCAGTGTTTTCGTTATATTACAAAAACATGCAAAAAAATTATACAAAACAACATAGTTTTATTGATACTGGCAGGCTGATCAAAATATTGTCAAAAATCTGTAGAAACTGTTATGAATTTAGGTTATAATGAAAAATGTCTTAGATGTTAGTAAGAAATATAAGAGCTTAGATGACCGACAACACAATATAACCATACAAGCTGATAGCATAAATAGTAAACTGAAAATTTTACATGAATATTATTCTCATCTCGATACACTTAACTAATAGAACACAGGCGACTTAAACGAAGGAAAAAACTTTTTCAAAATTCTACAGTAGTGCTAAAAAAGCAGCAGCACTGGAGAAAAATAATTTTAAACAAAAATTATGGAATTAGGCGAAAAATCACTGGCACTCTGCAAAATTTTTCAAACAAAACTGTCCGTTCCATTGTGAAAAAAATTGATTTACCTTTCACATTAGCGACTCATGGAAAGGTTCAGGCAGATGCAGACAAGAAAAACTTACTTTTCCTGATACGAGTTGGAGCCGCGAGGCGTTTAGAAGAACCCACGGACTCTACCTCAGCCTGCACAAGTCAAACGATCGGGGACCATACTTTCAAAACTCGCTAAGTGAACGCAAGTACTTACGCACTATTTTCTTGTTTATGATTGGTGGATTTTGCTTGAAAAGCCGTCAATGATTGGCGGATGAACTTACGATCTCTTGATTTTTATTGAAAGTATAGGCCCTGAGTTGCAGCAGTTCGGTTAATATTACTGGAGGTAGGATTGCCGTAAGAATTACTTTTTGGAGAGGAAATAGGCTCAATTTATATCTGTAAATAAAAATTTTAAGTTGTCCTGTTTTAGGTTTAAAGATGTCAGATTAGTCATTTTTAATTTTCAATCACCTTTGATTTGACCTCGAGTAGTAGTTGTTTTAATCATCATTGTTTCAGCTGACCTTGCAGTAGAGATGCGTTTATTGACAGATCGTGAGCATATTTGCGATGTGAAATGGCAGGAAATTGTGTGGTGTTATAGTAATTATTTCGTGTGTCAATTTGTTTATTATTAAAATACTTTTTATTTTAGTTAGGTATTTCCAAAACGTTATTATGTTTATTTCAAGAAAGCCTCCATTCCTGGATTCTGAACTTAGAATTGATCGATTGCCAACTGACTTAAAGTAAAGGATTGAAAGTAATTAAAAGATCAAAACACATGGTTAGAGTTTTAGGTTTGTTATGTAGGCTTGATAAACTTCTGTGAAATTTGTCAGCATTATTTTTTGTTAATTGTACTCGTATTTATTTTAAACAGCTTGTTCATTGAAAATCCTTGTTCCAGTAAATTTGTGGGTTTGACGGACGATCATGGGCTCTAGTTGAGGTGAAATACTTGGGATCGTTATTTAAGTGACAGACAAATAACTAATAGACCGTAGATTTATTTAATACTAATAGTAATGCTTTTAATGTTCATAAATGACACGAAATAGATCTGTAACGTTAGTTCCTATGTTTTGTAAAAAATATCCATGATCGCTTTTTAAAAGTTACGAAAATAAAATCTGTTCATAGAACATTAAAAAAGTAGAGAGAATATCAAAAAAGAATATTGAAAAGTTTCAGGATTTGAACTACCTATGAATTCGGGCCTGAATTTTATGATTTTTGGCGCATGTTTCTGGTTCCGTGTAAATGTTTCAGTTCATACATGTTAAGTCTACCAAAGGGCATTATCCTGTATGGGCATATTTTTCTTGAGAATACGACCAATATTTTTACCCATTAAATTAGTGGTTCCCTAATTTCTAAAGATTATTAACTCAAATATGCAATTCCACAACATAACTTTGTTACACGAATATTACCACAGCTGATTCACATTCCTCAGAGGTCATCTTTCTACTCCCCCGGATATGAAAAAATTGCTGCCATGGGCTTGTTAACCCCAGTTTTGGAATCAATAAACCATAAACCATATTAAAACAATATTAAAGACAATAATAGCTGTAAATAAATGCTTCGCATTGGCAACTCCCTTACAATCCCACGCGGTTAACAATCTCAATGATTTTACTCACGACAACTTGGTCTTCTTAACATCAACTGGCCCGAATCCATTCTTTAGTGTAGAAGCAAACTTAAAAATGTTCTCACATCCTTCTCATCATTTGATGCGCTTCAATGGATGCAAATATACATCCATTGATGAACATTTGCATCAATGTTACATGGAAATATTTATTTTACAAGCACGTACCGTGGTCCGTATGGCGTTGAGAGGCCCATCGGGGTCTGGTGGCATTATACTGGCCCGCCGTACGGACACAGAGATGCCATTTTTGGCCGTAATCTCCGTTTCGCTGTCTCGGTCTACGTCGTCTTCAGCCGCAGTGTCGATCTCCAGATCGTCGGGACTGTCTTCCAAGATCTCCACGGTCTCTTCGGTCGGTGATCCCGCCAAACTGCTGTCCTAAAGACCAAAAAATATTCTCTCATAACTTGAAATTGCAGAAATGTTGAGACAAGCTCGGGAATTTAACTGGTCATATTAACAAATTAGCATCTGGAAAATTTTAATTTGACTGTTGATGATATTAACATTACACTCGTTATCCATTCTATAGCTTCAATCGTACTCGACTTAAGCCAGTTATAAATTAAACGGCAAACAATTGAAAGATAACACGACAATTTTATAAGAAACATCAACATTTAGCCATTTATGTTGAGGTTCATTGCAAAGCACGCATGCAAAAATGTTTTTTATAAAAAATTTTTACGAGACTCTTGGTGGCGTTGAAGACAAAAAATTTTCCCTTTACAATACACTAACCTATAAAAAAATTTCTCTTACAATACAGTAACCTTTGGCCATTACTGGAAAAATCATATCAAGTTATGATGGCTTTATGCATTTTCATGTCCTTACTAAAAATTTATTTCAAAGGATTTCAACCAAATTTTAGCATTAATTGGCAAGCATTGGAATTATGAAACGAATCCTGAGCATTTAAATTTTTCATAGCATTCATATATACAGGTCACATTCAGAGACAGAATAATGTTGATGCATTCTATGAAATTCAACAGAAGGAATAAGTCATAGTTTAAAATTGTGTAATTATGGCGTAAAAATGTCGTAATTTTATCAGAAAGCAAGTGAAAATGTGTCATCAGGAAAGACTATTGACATCCAAGGAAACTGCGTTTCATTAGTTCGCAACAAAAACCAGTCTACATAATAGTATAATGAATTGAATTGGAAAGTATTTTGGAAAAGAACAATGAAGTAGAGGAGAATTCTTAATGTTATTCACAGATTAATACATACTATTGTAATTACATTGATTTAAATTTTCATTTATTAAGTCTGTATTATTTTTGGGTTAAAAATAATTCATGCACGATGCATGTTCGATTTAAAGCCCAGTGTATAATTAACAGTATTATTTACTACGACATAATTTATACAAATTAGGAGTTAAAGGAGCGAAACTTTAAGCAGGTAATACATAAAAAGCTATGGAGCCAGCTTTAAACTAAATATAAATTTTTTCATTTTTTTGCCTCACAATTAGTTGCATCACCGAACTCCACTAAGCACCGCACTCCACAGCACCGCCCTCCACAGCACCGCACTCCACAGCACCGCACTCCACAGCACCGCACTCCACAGCACCGCACTCCACAGCACAAACAAAAATATTTATTCAAAAATATTCGGCATAGAATAGGAATCAGCAGCAGTTGGGAGTTCAAATGCGTGATAAAGAAGATAGAACTGGGCACTCCTACGGCGTTCCTTCGATGCAATAAGGACTCGTCTAATTTGTATAGCTGGTGCCACTACCTAAATTTTTGACTAGGTATGTATTGGTAGCATATGTGTATTACAAATGTAATCCCCAGTTGCTTTTAAACGATGCTTGCCTTATGAAGGTTTCAGTACATTCAGTTATAAAATTTTTAACTGTGATGAATCATTAACAGATAGAAAAACATCAGCGGCACAGATTTTATCAGAACACCTTTTGGGATAAATGATGAAGGTTTTATGCTCCTTCAGTCAATGGAACACCGATACCTTAATAATATTATTAGAATGTCTGTTAGGTTGGGGTTAAAAGAGCTTATATATGACCGTGCAATCTGAATTAACAATTTTTAAAGTTGAATACGAATTTTACATATATACATGTACAGTACATCAAGAAAAAAAAGCATATTTACACAAAATACACTGTATACTACAACTTTCTCTTCATATAAACCGTATAAACAACTTCCTCTTCATATAACACATTCACTGAATTAAATTTATATTTAGGCATAAAATGGATTTAGGCTAACCAATTTAAACAATACAAGACATCGATGAAAAATAATACCGTTTTTTTCCCTAAATCATCCAGCTTATGAAAATGAATTTCTTAAGCGAAATCTCAACTCTTGCATAGACGATTAACCAGTGAATTAAATCCTAATATAAATTAATTTACGTTGAACAAATACTTTGAAAACAAATTGTCATAATCAAAACCTGTTGAATACTTTGTTATAATAAATAATTAAATTTTATCTTAAGACATAAATAGCCACCTAAAATTGCAATGGTATAAGGATGTACATGAATCGAAATAAGGAAAAAAAAGATCGCACAACAGCTAACATTGTATACGTTATAAGAATCTTAATTCCAGTTAACAACATTAACGATAATTAATTATGCTAAAAAGTCGCATATTTGGCATTCGAATGTGAACTAATTTAATACATCCAATCTTTGCAACTCACGCAGTCTCGTAGCACATTGAACTGTAAACGCGAGTTTCGCATTTTCGGCCAAAATAAATTTCTATCTATTTGAATCCTGGCTGATGCCAGCGAGCAGCCCGACCAATCGAAATTCTCAACCATGCAAATAAAAATAACTATTTTCGTAAATCAAATTATTCACATCTTTGGCAAAAATATGAATTAACCATAAATGACAGGCAGAAAAATGGGAAGAATATTTGTAATTAGTTTTGTTTTATAAATTGCTGCTGAATTTGAGATGAAGTAAGAAAAAAATTATATCGTTATAGTCATAACAAACAAGTTAACTCTTTATCTATTACAAGGCAAATTTTTCCTAGAAAGCATATTTATATCCATTTTATCGACAACGCTGAACATTTACCATGCATTTAATGCTACCCTTTAGCGACTGGAAATCGGAAAGGAAGACATGAAACATGACATGAAGTTACAAAAATTCTTGCAAATCAACGTTTATGAATTCAAATAAAATGGCAAATTCAATTCGATAAATAATTATACTTTCTTACACGGAAAGCAGAAACAATGTTTATTTTCATTTAAGAGAAGTAATTAAAGATTTATACGCGTGATTTAACAACTAATAAATTTTTAAGAAATATTAGAAAGATTAATACGATGGTGGGTGCGTTATACTGCTTTATACAATCAAGAGTCACACAAAAGAATTAGAAACGCTTCGATGATAGTTACACATGACGAATGATACCAACATCAGTCTCCCGTTTTGACGCCGATTTACTAAGAAAGATGCGAACAAATTATTTTATCAATACCTGTACCATAATAAAATTACTTAATCGCCTCGCATGACTTTATTTTCACGATATTATTTAGGCGGTTTTTAGGCATAGTTCGTGGTAAATTGTGAATAGAGTTTTCCATTAATTGGAAGAATGCGTAGATTGATTATCAAATATTCGCGAGTTTCAATTTTATACAATAAATTCAAATGGACTTCAGAGAGCCGTGAATACAAATTTCAGGATATGAATAATATTTAGAGCATTGAAAATTAACAAACTAATCGCTCCTTGAGTTTGTTGAGGAACTTTTATTGATGGACCTGGGTATCAACTTTGAAGCAAGTCATTCAATTAATTTCTACTACTTTAGATTTGATAGCGTTTCTTATTAGCAAAAACTGCACACTCCCGTTAATTTTTGAATTTGTACCAAATTAAACAACTTCAAGGGTGAACTTGAAATGCTAGAAACATCATAAAAAATCATTGGGACACAAATTACCATTTTGGCTTTGATAAGCAAGCTAATTTATTTGCCCTTTTTCTTATTTCACGCTATTCCTCATTATTCCATAGCATTCATTTCTTATCATTTGTATTCTAATGTTTAGGAATTGTTCATCAATAATTTGCATTAGTATTGCTCGCCTGATAGACAAGTAAGTTTTAATTACTGATGACTGGAATTAAAAACAAAAAACAAGCTTTGTTTGCAACCAAGCACAAACATGATTCGTTAACTCTTTCCAAACACACGATAAAATATATCAAACAGGATCACCGTTATCGGGATGATTACGAAGCTATGCCATGCATGTTCGTTGCCTGCATGTCACTAGGGACTATAGCGTCAAACGCGGAAGACTGATGTTGGTAGGACGAGTATTGAAAGGCTTACGAGTATTGAAAGGTTTGCGAGTATTGAAAGGTTTGCGAGTATTGAAAGGTTTGCGAGTATTGAAAGGTTTGCGACCTGCCTCAGGAGTGTTAGGTGGCGGCACGATACTAGGGGTTGACGAGTCGACTTCTACAGGGGGATCATCTTCGTCATCTATTGTGAGGTCAGCGTGTCTACTAGCTTTGGTGACAGCAACAGCCGCAGCCTCCCCCAAGATGATCTTTGTCTCGGATACTTTCCGACTAAGGATGCTTGCGAAGATGGATGATATGGGTTCAGGCTCTTTCTGAGTAATGGACGAGCCATCAGCTGCCACAATTTTGGTCTCGGAGTGTTTACGAATTAGGGTCGCTGCGATATCGGCGATAGTAGCGGTGTTGGTAGTAGCAGACACATTAACAGTGGACACAATCTGAGTGAGTTCAGAATCGGTGATGATCTTGGTACGAGAAGATTCTCTACTAGGTTTAGGTTTGATGGTCGAAGTTTTGGGTACTAGTTCCAGGCTGGAGAGGGTGGACTGAACTATTGTGGGGCTAGGCAGACTATCTGGACATCGGTACTGAAATACCCAATCAGGGTCGTCCTTGCTGATCACAGATACCTGTTCAAACACTCCAGTTACAAACTCAGTACATTCGTTACACATTGCAATGATTTTAAGGAACTACGTAATAGTTGAAAAACAGATTTCGACGGCGACATATTGGAGACAAACAATATACAACGAAACGAAGCATAGCAAACGAAATTCCACATACCGAGATATCTCATACTGCAATATAATAGAAAATAATGCTAAATATTGTCTAATCGTAAAATCATACTTAAATGAGTGAAGAGAATGCATACTTCCAACTTTGGAACTTTTCAGATGAACTAATTGAAGCGCGATTAGAGAAAATATCTACATGGTTAAATGTATTACATCTAAGAATTTCTTTCTATTGGAATGACAAAAAAGAGGTTTTCGAATACCTACAAAATATTGAAGCTTAATATATCACTTTTATAGTAATCGCGAGGGAAATATTTTACGCTTCGATCTCGCACAGAATTTGAGCTTAAAACTCCATTCCTCGCGCATAAATTCTAAGTATTTCAATACATACATGTATATAATTTCCAGAAAATGAGCCGATTTATCGAAAATTTAATAACATGTGTTTATGAGCATTCCACACCTATTTCCTCATGAAGTGTATTTCAGCCTCGCTTTTCACTTATCCAGTATTTTATGAACGATCCGGTTTCCTGAGTTTACAGTATAATCTAGCGAAATTTTATGCATGAATAATGCTGAAAAAATTATTCATGCCATGTTTCCTTTCACAAATTCCAGGTTCTTATGAGAACGGACAATATTAAATTGATTTCTTTGTTTAATATAAACAACATTTTGAAGTTTATGGCTGGTAGCAGTACCTATTTCCTCATGAAGTGTATTTCAGCCTCGCTTTCACTTATCCAGTATTTTCTGAACGATCTGGTTTCCTAAGTTTACAGTATAATCAAGCGAAATTTTAAGCATGAATAATGATGAAAAAATTCTTCATGCCATATTTCCTTTCACAAATTCCAGCTTATTAAGTGGTGAAATAAGTTGTGGAATTAATTTCATACGCGAAAAATATATTTTAGTAAGAAAATTGACCAGAAATTTTCACTCGATATAGTTGATTGGCTTCATGAATTAATGAATAGCGAAATTGATTTGAATTTTATGAATTCAATTTTTGTTTCATTTCCAGAACTCTCTCGTTTTAGATTAATAAAAAAATGTTTAAGTTCTAAAACCGATGCAGGAGTATAATATGCATCAATTTTTAATTTATTTAGAGTCCAGAATAACAACGATAAAATCGAGCGATGACTCACCTTGAATGTCAACATGTTGGTAAATATTCACTCCTATCAAAGACATAAATACAGAAGAATCAATTCACATTATGTACTGCAAACTTGCTTAAATAAAAAAAACTGTTTTCATAGTTTTAATCAAGTTTCATTTATATATTGAGATGCAACAACAGTTCATTGGAAAATAAATTCAGTTCAGTTGAAAAATTTCCTTAAAAAATTTCTCAGTAAAAATAAAAGGGAATATTATCTCAAAAATACCAACTTTTTCCTACATAACACCTAGTTTACTAAAACTATGGAAAAAACATGCGGCCCGAAAATTTCAAAAGCATTTTGCAAAAAAGAGTCTCAAATAGGAAAAAAATTCTCCTAAGAAAATATTTAAAGAATAAATCTCAATCACACATCAAGGAACAACAATATGGATGTACAATTTCTTGATATCGACAACGCTGACGAAAATAATAATCATAACGTAATAATTGTAATCTCGAATCCTCTTGAAAACTTTAATAAATTTCATGAAAACAACGGAATGCAATAAGCAAACGAACTTCATAAATTACTGATCCTGCCTGAAAAAAAGTCCATACAGAAGTATGTGGAGATGAGCGCAATGGCGAAAATATATATAAAAAACGAAAAGCACATGAACCTGAGCGCCGTGAACGAAGTAAAAAAAACTGAACAATTTGATCGTGATCGCTTGATGAAAACAATTATTATATGGTTTGTAGAGAAAATCAATAACAAAACATCAATAATAAATCAACATATTCACACACCTGCTGGATGAGCTGGTCTTTGCTAGACGGCGCGTCGCGCTCGCCTTTGGACGCCCGACTTGATTTGCGTGACGCCGGCCCGGCGCTGTCCCCGCCCGTACGGCTCTTGACGCTCGTCTGCGCGGTGTCTTCGCGCTTCACGCCTCCGCCCGCCTCAACATCGCGGCCTTTGGCCCACAGCCGCCTCATGTGTACACAAGTGGTACGGCTTAATTATCTAATTATTACTCACCAGCCATCTGACGTTGATTAAATCTTGCTTCAACAAAATCAACCAACTCGGAATTAATTTATATTTCTTAGCGTCGTTTGTCTAGTGCCTGGTATTAATTAGTTTAATTTATCAAAAGAGAAAAAAATAAACCATTAGTTAGTTATTAAGTCATTAGTCATTAATAAAGTCTAGTTAGTAATAAATCACCAGCCACGAGTCAAGTCGTTAGTTCATCTTTAAAAAGTTCGTGTTGAAATTAAATTAATTTTTAATAAGTTGAACATTGATACGATCAATTTTGGTTTAGTTTCTAAGTTTTCACATACGATCAATTTTGGTACTGCACGCGGTATAAATACCGAGTGCAGTACCAAGATGAATATGTGACTTGCGTGGGCTTGTGTTGATCACTCGTAAGTTAATAGCTGGTTTTTGCGAAAGCACATTTTAATATTTTGATGACCTCTTTCTGACCTCTTAAGGATAAAGTGTTTCAGTAATTTTGGTTTCTTTCAACAAAATTTTGAGTTTTTTTTTTTTTGTAACAGAGTTTTACTGACACCTGAGCACCTGGTTTAGCTTGACACGTATGTTCACCTGGCAAGAAAGGCAGAGGCTCCTATGCACATCAGAGGTAATAAGGTGGCCAGGATGATGGCTGCAATGATGTAGTGCTGTGACAACCCTTCATCTGTGACAGAGAAACGAAAAACTCGTTATAATTTCAACATTGTAATTTCACTACATCAATTGATTTCGCCTCACTTCAGCTCGTACATTCAATTAGATTCATCATTGTTGATCAATAAGTGTCTTGTAAAACTGTTGAAGGCTGGTCACATACATGCATGAAAAGGACACAATTTTGTAACTAGGTAATTTTATGATAATAAGGCATAGAAAATACATAATAACTTACTATAAGAGTACAAATACTTGGTTGATTTATTCATTAATATAATTATTGTTCATAAGTCTTCACATAACTCATGCTTTTTTTGCCTAGCCCTTCTTTTTATATTAATTCTACAAAGCGTTATGGTCAATATTTTATGACGGTTATAATACATTTCCCCTTTTTTTCAATTAGCTCAGTAATAAGCATAAAAAGTGTTGAACTTCGAAACGAATCTTACTGACGTTGTAGCTGCGCAACTCGGGCTTCTTTTATTTGCCCAGGGTTCCGCTGGTAACAAGCGAGGCGAGCTGCCTTCGCTTTAGGTATTCTTTTACTGAGCATGGTTTGAAGTGGCCATTGAATCGCGTATCGTAATTTTTAATTAGTTATTTGTACCTAAGGCCCAGATTATCACAAGCTGCTTTCCATCTCGTTGCACACTAGTTGGTGTTGCGTGCTGAATTTCTGCTGAATTATGTCTTGGCCTCAATTTGAGTGGCGGGTAAGGAAGTTTTGTATACTCGTATGACTTAGTTTCTATGGTTGCCTCCTGTTTACCTCCTATGGTTAGTGTTTCGATTTTATCCGTTCGTGTGCCTTCCCTGTTGTTGGGATAAATTTCATAAATACCGTCATGCGTCCTTCTAATAGTGTTACTTCGGTGACGGTTCTTGGTATTTGTTGAGCGTTAAACCCATTCTTTGTGTTCGATTATTGCAGGTGGACGTGGGCATCTGATTCCATCCATAGTGGGCATCTGATTACATTTATCCCTTAATGGTTCGCATGGAATCTAATCATCGGCGAGCTGTCACTGAATCGAAGGACTTAGTGGGGAAAAGAAACTAGTGTGCCAAGAAGATGCTCCATACTCATCGGTGACGGATGGACTTCGGGTTAGAGAGAGGATAAACCATCTCATCTTTGGAGGATTTGAAAATTCCCGAATGTCCTAGATCGTCACCTAGGAATTAACTGTTGAGCCTCTACGGTCTACGCGAATCTGTGCCAATTGAAAGTGGGCACTTTATTTGAAGACAGTCGTCCTAGTTTGTAACTGAGTTCTGACTTTTTGTCAGCAGGAAGTGGTGTCGAAACTTGCAGCTTAGAAGAAATCCCAAACTTTGTATACGTCTCGTGCTACAGTTTTTTTTAATTCGGTTTAACTTCATTTATAGTCAGCATTGTATTGGCATAACGTTAGATTTTTTATGATCAGGTTCTTAGGGTTTTCAAATATAACTCAATGGCCTGGCTGTCAACAGTTTGTTAGTCTCGTCTTCTCACTATCCCGTTGGAGATAGCTGTATATGTTGAAAGCTCTCCCGCAACATATATTTTTGGTGGCCAGTATGGGGATTAATTCGGGGGAGTTTTTTTGAGCATTGCCTTCTGAGATTGGCTGAATGACAGTCAGGTCTTGTATAGTGCAGAGTTCGATATTTGTATTATTCTGGTAATCTTTACTCAACACTATTGTCGAAATGTCGATTCAGTTACTTGAGCGTTTGTTGACCTGCCTTACGAATTTGGAAACCGTCATTGAAGAGTTGAAGCGTGAAAACGTAGCTGTGTCGACTCGGCCCGCTCAACTGCAGGATCTAAGGCGAACTCGCTGTGATGCTTACGACAGGAGACGTACAAGGACCTTGGTCTTCACAAACTCCAATCGGAAAGTGTGTAGGACGTGCGGACTACGGAGCCACGTCTCGACGAAGTGCGCGGGCGATTCTTGTTTTCTTTGCCACAAGCCTGGACACAGCTTAGGGGATTGCCCGGAAATGGACACCCCAGCAATGCTCTTTGAGGAGGAACCTGTGCACTATCGTGAGGCTTGTGATGACCAACTGAAATTGACATCTGCTGTAGAGTTGCTCTCCGTGGAAGACGAACTGAACCTTTCAGCACTTCCTGCTTCAGTGGTCGCAATTGCTCAGATTGATATGAATGACCTTTACTCGGCGATCCCGGCTCGGCAACCACTGCTGGAACCAGCCCCGGAAGTTTAATGTGAAGTGGGGTCCCATTGCCGTCTTTGACCAAGATGCCTTTGCTTCCTATAACGTTCGTTGAACCATGTGAACATCCCATATCGGAATGCAGTTCGCCAAGAGCTTCTCGTAGAGATATGCCAGACTCGGCTTCACGGACGGTGTCCATGAAGTTGGGCGACTCTGGCTTCAGCAGGACGTCGTCGTCCAGCGAGATACGGTTGTGGCACTGGAGCAGCGAGAACGATCTTCCTGGGACGTTGAATTGTGTTGGCGGAACTGATTGCACGACCCAAGATTCGGACACGTCGGAAGAGTCAGATTACTCGTCTGAAGCGAGGCGGCTAGCGTCCAGTTCTAGACGCAGGCGACGTCGAGGGCGAAGACGGAGGGACTCCCCGGCGGAATTCTCACAGTCCTTGGAAACTATTAAAATGCGTCGGCATGAGACGCTTCAGGAGTTTGCAACACGCCTAGAGGACGCATACCATCATTGTTATCCCACCTATGCACATCAGAGGTAATAAGGTGGCCAGGATGATGGCTGCAATGATGTAGTGCTGTGACAACCCTTCATCTGTGACAGAGAGACGAAAAATTCGTTATAATTTTAACCCATTAATTTCACTACATCAATTGATTCCATCTTTCTTAAGTAATTAGTATTGACAATAAATATCTACTGCGCGACTGACTGGAGATTCAACATTGTATAAATATAGCAGGTATGATTTTGCAGAGTAACAGAACTTGCTTATTGATGTTCGTCCATTCAATTAGATTCATCATTGGTGATGTTGTAATAAGAGTCTTGTAAAACTGTTGAAGGCTGGTCAATGATAATCAGGCATAGGAAATACATAATAAGTTATACTATTAGAGTACAAATAATTTGTCGATTTATTCATCAGTTTAATTATTGACAATAAGTCTTCATATAATTCATGCTTTTCTGCCTAGCCTTTATTGCTATATTATTTCTACAAAGACAAAGAGTTACGGTCAATATTTTATGACGCTTATAATTAATTACCCTCAATTAGCTCAGTAATAAGTATAAAAGATGTTGAAACTTCGAAACGAATATTACTGACATAAATAACATTGGTTTTGAATTTCATCTCAGTTGAGATAAGCGGTAACCAATTGCTTTTAAAAATCGATTCTATTGAGGTCGCAACGGCTGTATGATAATATACCTTAAAAATTTAATATACCTTAAAAATTTAATATACCTTAAATTTAATTTAATGTAATGTCTCACTCGGAGTCACAGTTATAAGAAAGTTTAATGCCATTTCAACCTATCATAAAAACGTGCGGCGTTCGTGCATGTTCAACGTACGATATTCCCCGGCGTTCGTACATGTTCGATATTCCCTGCTATGTATATGTTCTGCCGAAATCGTGGAAGTGCCGATTATATGGAATCGGCAGCCAGTTTGCCGAATCTGTAGAATCAGCATTTCTATACTATAGGAATCTGGGGTTAGGTCAGTCAGCCAAGTTATTTTTTTCTAAACATTTAAATATACCTAAAGGAACTTGACCGAACTTGACCTAACCATATCTAACTCTAACTGTCAATTTATGTTCTAATTCTAACTCTAACGTTAGATTTTCTGAATCAGCAACAAAATTCTGATTCTACAGATTCGGCAAACTTGCTGCCGATTCCATAGAATCGGCAATTCCGCGATTTCGGCACGACATATACAAGATAGAAGTTATGGCTCGGTAATTGAACGAATTACACTCTCATTTCACGAGCACATGGACATGCCCACATACCCAAATACAATATAAATAATGTCGCATGCTATCATTAATCATTTATTTGTCTTAGTTGCACCACTATTCTTTTCCCGGAAAATGCTTTCTAATCAGATTTCTGGAGTTCGCTCGTTATAATTCCAAGTAGGTAAATATTTTTGCATTTTTTGCTGTTAATAAATTAAGCTGCAGGTTAACTCACGAAAATAAATTTCGTTATCATAAATAATCAAGTCCTTTATTTTTAAATTTCAACTCTAGTTTAGAATCTCATTAGCCGGGCCTCTCTGTATAGAGGCCATTAATTTCGGACGGTATTGTGGTTCCATTAATAAGGTTTTGAGCTCAGGCCTCGACTGGCGCTGTCATGCATGATAACAAATCACCACATATCGAGGCATGACACGTACCGTGTCGACATGACAGTACCGTGTCGACATGACAGTACCGTGTCGACATGACACGTACCGTGTCGGCATGACACGTGCCGTAACGGCATGACACGTACCGTAACGGCATAACGCGTGCCGTAACGGCATGACACGTGCCATAACGGCATGACACGTGCCATAACGGCATGACACGTACCGTAACGGCATGACACGTACCGTAACGGCATGACACGTACCGTAACGGCATGACACGTGCCGTAACGGCATGACACGTGCCGTAACGGCATGACACGTACCGTAACGGCATGACACGTACCGTAACGGCATGACACGTACCGTAACGGCATGACACGTACCGTAACGGCATGACACGTACCGTAACGGCATGACACGTACCGTAACGGCATGACACGTACCGTAACGGCATGACACGTACCGTAACGGCATGACACGTACCGTAACGGCATGACACGTACCGTAACGGCATGACACGTACCGTAACGGCATGACACGTACCGTAACGGCATGACATGTGCCATAACGGCATGACACGTACCGTAACGGCATGACACGTACCGTAACGGCATGACATGTGCCATAACGGCATGACACGTGCCGTAACGGCATGACAGGCTCTATATACTTGATGGCTCTATTACTCGAAAGCCTCTTCAATGTCTTCAACACGAAATATTCCCCAGTAATACATGAATTTGAAATTGCCTCAATGGATCTCTTCCTCGTTGTTAATTTCTTAATAAAAATTTTCAGCGCGTCATTTTTAAAGCCAATACGTTAAATTAGTGGCGTTCATTTTTAAAATAATTGTATGGTAACCTTTGATGATTAGAAATTAATAAATTTACTTAATTAGCTTGTCCATCTGTAAATGTGACGTGTCGCAATGAAACAATACTCGTGTATTGCACTCGTGTATTACATTAATACTCGTGCATATCAATTGAAACACTACTCGTGTGTCGGAGGCTGCGAGCAGTTACCCTCTAATCAGAACCATCACCACCTAGACCACAAACTCGAGTGTCACTTCGAAATTCGATTTTCACTGCCACGATCCTGCAGCAGATTATTCAGCAGCACGTTGAGGCAAATAAATTTAACATTATTGTAGCCTTAACCATTACCCTGTAGCCCAAGTCAGCTGCTACCGAAAATCACAATGATCATCAAACTATATAACCAAGCTATCCTCCTTTTCGTGTTCGAAGGATGCTTTATTTCAATCGAGCATTAGAAAAAATAGAACAACTTTTACGATAACACTAAGAGTTGCAAAGCACCCTAGATATAAGTCCTAGAAATTTGGAATATTTTTGAAATTATTGAAACGTGTTTTCTTACTTATGAATTAGTCTCCGTTGTTTCATCGGTGTTAATGAGAGCAGTTTTCGAGTTTATTTAAATTTGGCTTGAGCCAACGAATATTCCGTTAAATAAATTGTTACATTTTAATATGGATTCTTTTTCACTTAAAATGTTTCTTTCTATGTCAATACATCATTAATCGCGTTAAACTATAATAAAAAAGAATGCAAATGCACATTTATTTTAAAATTTCTTCACTACTGCATTAAAGCTACAGCTCCAATTTATGAGCCGCTAAGTCGTCAATGGATTTTTTGCCAGAAACTCGGAGACCGAGACACGGTGGCTGGAGCAATGATCATGATATGTAGACTCTCTTGAATAATTAAAATGTAATTAAATTGAACTTCTCGTTGAATAACTGAAATGCACCAACAAATTTTGCATGAAATTGTTTGAATGAGGCGGTATTGAATTTATCACGGTGTTTATAGTTTTTTAAGATAATACAGTTATTTCATTAGAAGGAAGAAAAAAATGTCGATTTTTGGAAAACAAACCCTACTACTTTTTTATTTTTCTTCACTCCAGGGTTGTTTATTGACGAAAAGAACGAAATATTTCCAGCCATGTTACCAGTTATTTACCTCATAATCAAAATATGAAGAAAATATAAATATATAACAATGCAGTGCTGTGCCACCACGAAACGAAAATAATGAACAAGATATTTGAACAGCTCAAGCGCATTTCGTACGAGATGCTTTCATGTATGTTATACCCTTGTCTATAAAATTTCATGTGATCTAGAACAAATTATGAAACAACTCTATTAATTAAATAGTTAGTTAATGAAAAAAAAAGAAATTTATGCTTCATTAAAAATAAAAAAGAAATAAAAAGTAAAAATTATGCATTAAAGAAAATAGGAATTTATGCTCCATTTTGCAAATTTTAGGAACTAAAATGATAAAATATTTACTGATAATTACTAAATTCCGACAACAATACATGAAATCAGAATGTTATTATCCCCGATAAAAATTTTACGAGCAATATTTATTCTTTTTTTACATTATTATGCCGCAAAAAGTTTCTTCATAAGCATTTGAAGTTCTATTTTCGATCCAGAAAAAAATTCTATATTGGAAATGTATAGAGCCAGTGCAACTCTGTGACATAGTACCTCGATGAATTGCCAATTGATAGAATGATTGAGCTTCAGATTCAATTTCAAAAATTCAACTGGTCGAATTTACCTTAACCAGAATTAAGTATTGAAGTCAACCGGCGTGGTTCAACAAAAGTGGTTCCAAAATAAGAGTCGAAGTGAAATTTCGACTGATAAAAATTGTAAATTCACTAGAAATACTTCTAATTTAACAGAACCATATGAGTTTTTAATTTAAATTTGTAAAAATAATAATATTGCTGCATAGGTTTTTCAGAACAAAGTAATCAGAACCATTTCTGTTTGAAAGGTTCTGCAAATAAAGGCAATCACTACCGAACATCTCTAATCTTTCACCGAATTCTCTTTTTTTAATAGGAATATGATCATCATAGACCAGAATCATTCCTGATTAATATGTTCTGCAAATAAATGTAAATCATAATCGATTATGAGCATTCTACAAGAAAAATAATAAAAAATATAACTCAGTACTCACTGCAGTGAGTGACAGAGAGCGCATTTTCTCGTCGACGAAAACATGAAGTCACAGACGGACAGACAGACGGACGGACAGACGGACATGGCGAGCACAATAGTGCATTTTTTCATAAATGAGAAAATGCGCTAAAAAGCGATTTTTATAAGAAACACTAAAATTTTTTCCATAGAGAAAATCTCAATATAAAATACTAGAGCATAAAAACACGACCATCACAGACCGGAATCGTCGTCGCCTTCGGGTTTGAGAAGCGTTGTGTTGTCGGCTGAGAGGTGCTTGCTCTGCACCTTCTTGAGCGAGCCCACGTAGCGCAGCAATACGTGCTGCAGCATCTGCATACGAATGATACGTTATAATTATCTTACAGTATAATTTATAGCGCTAAGAAATTCATTGTAAAATATTCTTAGCAATAAAAATTTGTCTTTAGACATAGAAATTACAATGTACATTGCAATTGACATACACTGGAATGTTGAATGCACACTAGACGCTTGAGTAGTAATAAAATGAAAAATGTTTCTAGTGGTAGAAATTCATCGCATATCCAATGTTATATTTTTTAAACTACATTACGAGAACATTACATAGAATAATATTTATAGCAAGCTATAATTTTAAAACTATAGTTTGTGTGTTCCTCCAGCAAACATTTGTAAAAGTGAAATGACATTTGTATAATGGATATTGGCTGCCCTTAAGCCAAAATTCTGAAACTTTTTTTATATGTGTTCTCTGATTCATGACGAACATTTTGATGTATTAACCATGCACGTATTATTATTATTTTGGACTGGCAAATATTGCCAAAAATAATTCCAAATGTTATTTCTTCATTTACACAATGTTTTTGATCCAGCGAAGTACTTGATAACGAAATTTAATTTATTGGAAGTAATGTAGCATTAAAATAAGTATGCTGAATAAGTAAACTTCTATGCTCAAAGTTCAATCGCGTATCAAAAAGTATAATAATTATTGGTTAAGTTCGGAGTTAATAGATATATTAATCAGCAATAATATGCGCTTAAAAATTACATTTTAAAGAACAACACTTTTAAAGAATTCCGTGTTTCCGATGTTACGCATGTGCAATGAATTTCTAATTTTATTTTCATATAATAAAAAATTAATTTTTAAATTTTTTTAATATATAATTAAAATCAATTATACTTTTTTAAATATTTATTTGTAATTATTCTGTCAATTATTCAATTCAATATTTATTTGCAATTATTCTATCAATTGATTTATGCATTATCTCCGATTTTACGCAAGTGTGCAAAATTTCAGATCGATTGGACAGGTAGAAGTGTGTTGAAGATCGATTATAAAAATTTGTGGCAGACAAAATTATTTTTTTCAATTTTTTTAATAAAACGGCTACATGCAACAGAAATAAGTTACCTTGCCTCGTGTGGGTAGCACAAGACAGTATTCACTCAGCAGCCTTGTGGTAGAGAGTGGACCACAGACCCATGTCGTGCGTGTGTGGTAAGAGCCTCACGTACCAACGTGAGTCGGGATACTACCGTGTTTCCCATCGCATTATCGTACAAATCTAGCACGAAGCGGCACTACAGCAGTTCCCAGGTGTGTAAAGCTTTGATCAAAGAGCGGAATAGAAAAGAATGTCAGCTCGAAGGTGATTGGAATCGAGATGAGGAAGTCGTTATTGGATCTGCGTCAGCGTGTCGGTGCGGTGAATATTAGTGTCAGTTTGCTAGTGAATAGAATTTATGTTTGAATTAAATTTGTGACAAATAAATTTTTGTGTATTTTTTGTTGCAGTGTTTTAGTTTAGAACGGTTCTGAATTTAACAGAGATGAAACAATAATGTTGTTAACACGGTCGTTGGTAGAATCGAAATGAAATTTCGCTGCATTACGAGAAATCTTATTAAGAAATTTTGAAATCTACTGAAGTACTCAGAAATTCTTAAAAAGTTCACACCCGTCGAGAAGGCGGTGGAATAAATGAAAACTTTCATTAAGTAATTGTTAGCAAAACCAATCATCCGGCAGACAAAAAGAAAAATTTTCAGTCTCTATTAAAACAATGTGAAAAAATTATCATTCCTATGAAAAAGCATGTCAAACAGGAACTAAAAACAGGTAACTAAAATAAAATAGCTATAAAAAGACTGTGATTGGAATTCTCATAGGTGAATGTCGAAAAATTTATGAAGACAGAACGAAGAGAAGTTGAAGATTATCATCATTCCTCTCAAAATGTTGCCACAGACATCATCTGCATTCAGCTGCCTCAAAAACATTAAATTACTTCAATTTACTCTTCGTTGTACTAATTGACGAACTAGTTTCTCGATTGCAGCTCATGTTATGGCATGTAAAGATTTTAGTTCTAAAATTATTTTTGTTTTCAACTTATACCGCGTGCAAAGATATGTTGACAAATCAAAGATTTATTTTACCAAACGAGTTGTCCATTAGTTTTTTGAAATTGATTGACAGTATTCGAGTTGAGCATAGTTTAGAAGCTGTGGTTTGATCAGAGTAGAGTGAGACGAAATTCTAATGAAAGAAACAGTCAATGAGTCTTTAAAGAATATATGTTTTTTTATGTTGCAGGCCTATGACGTGGGCGTAACTGGTGCTGGTAGAATTACGGAGTCAAGCATTTCAGAAGCTCTGAAAAAGAAGAAACAGTTTGTTGCATTAACAATTCAACTGTATCTTACCAATAAATAAAAACTACAACAATAAAATTTTTAATCATAATCAAATATGTACAATCAACAAAAAATATAAAATATAATACAATTCTTTTCACAAAATTCCTCATTGCGGGCTGAAAAATTGGTTACCTATTTTTACCGGGTTTGGCTATCAGACTTCGTTTACATGGGAACAACAGTTATAGAACCAATCGAGTGGGAATGAGTAAACCGAGATTGCAAGTTTGAAAAAAGGCTTTCTTATTTGGATAGACGAAACGTTCACTAAATCGGTAAGTGAAGATGGTTTAGAATTGCTTGGAATAAAGAAAATAAGCACTCTACAGTCTGCAGGCGCCCTAAATTTCTGATGGAGCGAAATTACGAAATCTAATTTTCCCGAATACTCATGCTCTGGAGCATTTGAATGATATTCTGGTAGTTAATGTAAGTTTAGGTATTGGCAATAGAATACCTACCATCGTGAGAATGACTAGACCAGATTGAAAATAATGTGAGGGTTAGAGGTGGCTGATTAATCGTCGACGTTTAACTGCTGATCATCAGTTTATTATAACCTCGCTTAAAACAAGAATGTATTGCAATGAACATGAGAGTGGATACAGTCGGCTTTAACTTCAATAATTTACGTTTTATCTACGCCACAAAAACTTAAACTAGAAATTGAAAGCTAATATGATAGAAAAAATTTCTTATGGAATTGAATTTAGCAATTAATTCAAGTATAAATATAAGATCAGTGTGCCGAAAATGAAGATTTTTGAACACGTTTCATATGCTATCGTAGAATAAAAAAATTGCTCAATTAGGTTTTCAAATAGTAAAAATTAAATATTAAAATCTACATGACAATAGGCTAGTTTTCTTGTCCTCTCCGATAAAATAATTATAAATAGCATGGAGGGAGAGAAAAACTATTCGAAATCATTTAATATGCCAGCAAAAGCTGAATTTTGAAAATATTTATAACGTAAATTTATGGCTAAGTATTTTTTGAATATAAAGCAACGATAAGTAAATTCACGATATTTTAATTGAAATTCCAGGTAAATTTGTAATCTAAGAAAACGAATAATATAAATACGTTTTCAAATTTAACATATTATGATCATTTGCATTTAAACGCTCCCTACAAAATTTCTCGAACATTAACAATTAGAGACTTTATTGAAAGAATATAGTTTATTCGGTCTACGTGGGCTGACCGTTCTTTATTTATTAGCCTTCAATAAGTAGCCTGTGAATTTCGGCGGGATACTCGAGAAAATTTCACTCACCGATCGATGCAATTAAACCTCACCTGCATTCATAGCGAGAACATCTTTCAATATTCATACTCAGGATATTTAAATTTATTTGGATAGGGAATGACGACTTGATTCGCTCAATTTAATTTTCCCACTAGTGCCAGCAATGATTGCATTTATCTCTTCCACATAATGCGGCTGTGATCATAATACTTTTATCATCAGTACAATTTCAAAATAGTCTCTAATAATGAGGCCTTTTTCGATCACATTTCCGGTGCACATTAATTCAGGCACAATTCAAATACTAAAGCCTTACGTTTTTATTCCAATCCATTGCTGTGCACCACATATTACAACATTATTCTTAACCGCACACACGTGCTTGATCTAACGGGAATAAATCTCGAACTTATTAACATATTCAGAACAAATATTCTCGTTTATACAGCATTATTCATCCCATGCCACGAGCGCATGATCTCTTGCTTATCAGTTTCATTATCGCCGGGCAGCTGGCTCGAGCAGAGCAGTTATGTAGCTCTCGACGCCATCAAATGGATTTGGTTAACCCGAGGGAAAGCCGCTATATAGGCAGTAATGGTGGACATTAGTTCGCGTTACGCCGTCCATTTCGCAGGATCGAGCCTTGCCCAAAATAAGTCAAATAAGCTCTAAATTTTGGAGAGCTCAAGATATCGACAATTACGTGAACAAAATTAAAGAGATTAATGTTAATATCGTTAAAATGAATTTAAAATCTCCTTAGTAATATTATTACTGAGTAAATAAATATTTATGTATGGTAGATATTATTTTTTTATATTTTTATATTTACTAAGTGAATACGTGTGATTTTACTTAAATTTTATCACAGTCATCTCTGAATACTTTTTTTTTTGTTCTCGGATCCATAATATTATAGCTGAGTTGATAGCGTTCTGTTATCCCTAACGACAAAACTTTCATCGATTGCACCGAGCAGTTACTTTCAGTGGCGTTGCCTAGAGTTCATCATCACCCCCACCTCAACATCATAGGCCTCAACATCATAGGAGTGTGGTACGAACCTATATATGTAACTGTTCTTAGTCGCCCGGTAGCTATTTTTTCACCTGCACCATTATTGAAATAATCAAAATATTTAATATTAATGATATTAATATTATAATCAAATCAAAAATCGCCTAGTAGCATAGTGAACTATGTCATTATTTGATAGAAGAGAACTGTACTCGTATTTATTTGGTGAAACTATCTAAGCGTTATGACGCTAGACACTATCTGCTGATAAAATATCTCTTAGAATTGTTTTAAGAAGAGCATTGCTCCGAGCAACAGCGGCTATTAGAATTCAGAAGAGAGCAAAAACCATCAAGACTTTCAGTTAAAATATAACAGAAATTGAAGTACCGTAAAGAATAATATAAGTACTCTAACTTCACGATAAACACAGCAAGAAGAAGATCGAAGAGAAGAGCCCATAATAAGGAAGGATTAGTCTTGAAAGGATTCGTTTACCTGGAAGATAAGGAGGTCCATCTAAAGTATCGGACTTTCTCGATAATGTCCGGATGAATTCCAACAAAGTTTCCTGGCGAAAACTTTCGGCCAATAATTAATGAGCTTTCTTTCCCGTCGGCAGCAGGTAACGCAGGCAAGGGAAAGCTGAAAGTAAAGCGCGTCAAGATTTAACTTACTTAGAAAAGATGATCCAATTTAACCCTGTACTCCAGCCCATTTGAGTCTCTTAGCCTAAAAATCGAACAAAATGTTTAATCGATTTTGGAGCAAGTTTTTCACTATAGCTTATAATATTTTCTTTCTAGCACAGTGTTTGATGTATAAAAGTAGACGCTCATTTAATCGATATATCAAATTTAAAGTAAGTTGCATCCAATGTTTCATATGCAGCTTAGGATTATGTAAAAGCATTCAACTATATATAAACTAAATATAGGCTATATAACTAAACTATAAAAAGCACAAAATTCATGCAGACATTACAACTCATGCCAGGCAGAAGAAAATAAGTTAAGGATGAAAGTGCAAAAACTTACTATGCAGCACACACTTAGCGTGACTTTTCAGTTTCGATGGGAACAATTTCGAAAATCATGATCCGATTTTCTTCGATACATAATTCTGACAGCCGGCGAGTGTGCGACTCCTTTGTTACAATTTATGTTTATAGGAACACGAATATAGTTCCCTCATAAATTACCCAACAACGAAATTGAATATTTTTGATATGTTGACGGCAACGAAGATAATTATTTCAACAACGCACAAGTACGAGATTTGAAAACCAACCTAAAAAAATAATTATGCAAGTAACTATCAACATTCCATCTGTACAATAATAAAAACTAATCACACCAGGTAAATGATGATTTCGTATACGATTTCTACATCATTTTTAAGATGTCAACTCGATTGTCTCACCAGCTAAAACGTGACATTGCACTAGCCCCTTTCGAATGAAGCCTGTTTTTTCTGCTTTTCGGTGAAGCGAAATTGATTATAATGCCAACAACACGAAATGCCCTACAATAATCTAAATAAATTGTGTAGGTTATGAGAGGTTTTGCTTCTGTTCCAACACGTCGGTTATAATGAAGTGTTAACCTACACTCGTCGTAGAGTAATACAATAATACTCAAAAAGAGTTATCTGTACCAATTATAGAAATAGTGCAGTGGATTCAGAAATGTTATTACATTTTTAATGAGCAATGCGTTGAAGCAGCAATGTTCTAAGAAAAAAAAGCGATGAGAAGGAGAATTGTTCAGATTACAGCTTAACTGCTGAGATTAAAGCTGATTATTGCGAACATAAGCGAAAAAATAAAAGTCACAAATCCTTCAACTTCGTCAAGCTTTACGTGAAAATATCGAGCAACAAAAACATCAACCATTCATCAGTAACCGGACGTCACAAAAAACGTACTTGCGCAGTAAGTCTTGGTGGAAGTTTAAGACGCGTCATCAATTGTTTAATGGCTGCCATTTGACACCAGCAACAATGACCGGGACTTCGAGATAGGAATGAATGGGAAACGAATTGTTTCTCGGTTTATAACTTTAATGAAAAAATATGTTTTGAAAGTGAAGATTCTAAACGGTTTTTACAGTGGTATTTCAAACATCGACAGATGCCTAAATAATACGCTGACATTCATAAAAAAGATGCATGAATAATTTGGAATATTCAGCAGTACTTCAAAAAACACAATCAACAACGTTTGTGCGACCCGATCTGAGAGTCTCGAACCCAATGACTCTTCATTCTAAATCTGCGATTTAAAATAAAATGAAAATGGAAATAAAAAACTCTGAAGCACTCGTACGGAGCTGCTGACGCTGCAATTTGATTCGATCGGGAGGCACTGTGGAAGTTTCGACGGAAACCACGAAATTCAGTTCCGAAAACATCTAAAAGTTACCGCCGACTTTAAGAAAGCACGGAAAGTGGATTCCAAAATTTTAGCCGTGATTGTCTCGACGGATTGTCCTCCACTCGGGTAGATGGTTGAAAAGAAAATAAACGGCAATATGATATGAATTCATCTTTTAGAAATTATTGAAAATAACGGGCCGATCAGTTGTAAAAAAGTTGGCATTACTTAACTTAACAAACCTTAACATCTGATATTATATTAAATATCAAGGGGATAATTACGGCGACTGAACATCAGGTATTTTGA